ATAATGCTCAAGATGAGGGCTGTTTTAATACTTACTGTTCCCATTAACCAGGATCAAGCACCATTTCCTTACACTCTCCCATGGGTCTGCGTGTCCATCTTCCAACCTCTCTACACAACCAAGCCCTCACCCTACATATTTCAGAAGTGTGTTCCTCCGAAACACTGGTACCCAACTACAAGACTATATAGTGTTACACCCAGAAGACCACAGTCGGAACAATCATTGATGTGAAAAGACCAAAAACTTATATTTACAATGATATTTTCCATAATACGACCATTTCCAGAAATCCTTGTACAAATGACATGCAAGTACTCAATCACAAAATTTTGGATGAACTATCCACAAAATAGGCAATAAAAAATAAAACCAAATTTTAAACAACTTCACTCTGAATATATGAGTTTGTGGGACTCACAAGGGTTCAAGTAATGAAGTCCATATTAAACCAGTAACTCCTTGGCTTTTAGTCCGCAAGCAGACTATAGATACCGAGTGACCACTTCTTGTCGGTGAAGTTAGTTCCAACTTCAGCGGATAGAGGGTGTGGCGTGGTCAGCACATCGAATCCCCATGGCCGTTAATTTCGGTTTTCTAGACCGGAGCCGGTATTTCCTTAAAATAGATTCTTAATTATCCTCACGAGGCTGAGTGGACCCCGTTCCAGACCCAACACTTCTCAGAAAATCTGGTAGTGCTGGGAATTGAAACCAGGACCTCTGGATCTGTAGCCAGGAGTAACCAGTACACTTCAAATATGGACCATGACTCTTCCCCCATTATCACCAGCACTGTTTTTACAGAAAAATTTAAAACATGAAAGTAAACAATAGTTAAAGCTTGTACTTGAATATGAAATACATAATTATAAATTCCTTATTACACATACTGAACAGTCATTTCTGAAATTTATAACCCAAAGTTTCCACCAGGAAGCTCATAATATCCGTGTTTTCTTCAATCTAAAAAAAAAAGAAAACAGAATTAATACTACATGAAGGTAACTCCGTAAGTATGACAGAAACAAATATCCAAGAAATATGACTCACCAATTTTGATGTTGGCTTACCACCACCGTGGCCAGCTTTGGTTTCAACGCGAACTAAAAGAGGATTTGTCTGGGAAACAAGAGGAGGACATGTCCGATTAACAACTCAGGTAACAATGACAAAATACCTGTCAGCTGTGTAGAAATTAAGTCAAGTCACTACATCTGTATTCCATGAAAAATGCTAGTTGTGCAGGTCAACAAACTTCCTGTTTTTATGTAACCTTAAAGGAGAACTGCATTCAAAAAAGCCCATTTACGGTAAACCCTGCCCAAGGTCGTGCCATAGCTCAAGCGGTTAGCCGCTGGCTTCCCACCACGGCAGCCCGGGTTTGGCGCTGGGGCGGGTTTTCTCTGAGTACTTCATTTTCCCCCTTCAATCTTCATTTCACCAAATTCTCCATCATCATAATCACCCAAGGCGGGTTACAATAGGCCAATTAGTGGCCACCGTGCCGAGTGGACCCAGTTGGACTCCACACTCCACTAAGCGAATTAAAAAAAAACACTGTCCAAGCCACGTGGTTAGGTTTCCTTGAAAGGCGTGTTAGGTAAACCCATGCACAATGAACTTAATTCCTAATGGATTAAACAGTGATATATGAACACTGCAGTGTGTTATTACCAATACCTAGACACACCAGAAGACTTTTTACACATGTACACACACACAAAAGTGAACGGCCCTCCAAAAATCACAATAATAAAAAAGTATATTTATAGGAAATAAAAATACGGTAGAGCAAAACTCAATCTGCGACTTCCCGACTTGCAAATTTCCAGACTTATTTGATCTGGTTCATCCTGGTCCATCACACTAGCAATATTGCGATAGGTTAATTGACTCCATCCAGTGTGACTGATATATGTTCTTTCTCTCTGCATATTATATACTCTGTCTAGGTCACCTCCCTTCATTTAATGACACTAAAAAAAAATGGATGAATGGCAAATATCATGGAAGTTATGAGACTGTTATGAGACTGTTTTACTTGTCTGTTACGCCATCTCTTGTAAACACAATCTTTTTCAGTGTTTGTTCTCAAACATCTGCAATATTTTCTTCCTATGAAACACCAATACGATAAAAAACAAAATATAAATCAGGGAAAGTAATACAGCTTACTACAAATATTATGTTTCTGAACATTAGCCAGCATCACTTTTGTCTAAATGACATCCTGTTTATGTCCAAAAAAACACATTTCAGATATTGGATTCTGTCTCCGTCTTCAGGTAAAATCTACTCAGGTGGGCCCATGGTAGAGCAAGTCCCTACCTCCAGACTAGCGCCATCCATTGGTTTCACCTGAAGATGGAGACAGAATCCGGTCTCCATAACGTTGTTTCAAAATATAAACAGGATTACAGTTTAGATAAAAACAGGGCGATGGATAACGTCCACAAACATAATATTTTTAATAATGTACCATCGTCAAAAACTTTTAGTTCTTATTATTACAGTTCACGTCGGGCATCAGCAAGGATCAGAAAAACTTTCACTGGAACAACTGAGACAAACTATGGCTTCTGTTAGGGTGGTTTATGTCACATCTGAGACTGAAATCAAGAACCTTCTGAACACAAGTCAGACTAAACCCCACTACTACTATTAGTACAAGTTAGGTACATCAGGGCTACAGAGATGGCTCGTAATGTTTCAATAATACCTTTACCACTGTGCTTACCTGACCAGGACAATCTCTCAGGACATGTTGCAGAGTAGCGATGAACTTCAGTGAATGAAGGGGAACCACACGATCATCATGATCAGCCGTCAGCAGCAAAGTGGCAGGATACTGCAGCAAAGCAATATACATGAGATGTGAGGTTCTCACTCAGGTCACTATGAAGATCACTGCCTTCTTCAAGGTGACATCATGTACTCTGCAGACTAACATCTTGCAGGAACACACTACTTCCATTTTATATCAGAAGGATTAGTGCACAAAAATGTGATAAAGATGCGGAGACAACCGGAGTAGGGGCAGCAACTTAACCAACACAACGAAGAGAGCAGTGAGGAAACCATATCGTCACCACCTCTCTCCCTACATCGGTATCACATTTCCCATTTATCTCAATCTTCTACCATGAATCTGGAGCCAGTAGGTTCCTCCAAAACATCAGCATCCCAGAAGTTAATAATTCTCAATGGTACAATAGGCCATAAGTGGCCGCAGTACAAGGGACTTAGTCCCACCCCACTAACAACAGTAATTCTCAAAGAAAAATATTCTTGTCACGCTCTGATCTTAAAGCGATCAACTATACATGTTGACTTTTAGTTTTCACAATAAATTATCATCAAACAAATACACTTTTGTGAAGTAGGCACCACTCGACATTAAAAACACGTCAGTGGTTAAAGTCACTAATTATGACATCCGAGTTTCTCTTGGCAGTTTCTCAGATGTGATGTTGTGTAATACCATACTACACCTAGTAGTTTTGTGGGGTGGGGTGACAATGAGTCCATTTGGCATAACAGTTACTAATTCTCCTGTTGCGCCAGACCCTTATGACCCTTTCCACATTTGGTGGAAAGAGGACAAGGGAAACTGAAGTACTCGGAGGAAACCTGCCCAGTGCCACTTTGTCCACCCAAAATTCCACATTATTTGACCTGGGATGCAAGCCAGGCTGCCGAGGTAGGAAGCCGGCAACTAACTGCCTGAGCTTCAGCACAGTCTTACATCAACTATTGTGACTGAGCTTTCTCATAGAATTTCAGTGCCTCACGAAAATGCTGGCATATATCTTAAATTAGGCCATGATTGCTTTTTTTCTATATACTTTCCAATTCAATAAGCTATTTACAATCATCCTAACACTTGCTGCTATATATTATGAGGGTTGTTCAAATGAAATATGTTTGCAGATTGTGACGTACTAGAGGTCGTTAAATTGGTCTCACAGCCACTGATCGTTGGAACCACTACACCATTGTGAGCTTGAAGTATTCAGCCCGAATTAATGGTTTTTGGTGCTTTCTTGAGTGGAGCCACAATATACAGATTTCATTTGAACAGTCCTCATATGATGAAGAAAGTTGTCTTCTGGGTTTAGGCACCGTGTATTCTTCGTTTTGGCCGATGTTCCTCCGAAACGTCGGCCAAAACGAAGAATACACGGTGCCTAAACCCAGAAGACAACTTTCTTCATTGTCATCGCCGTGAAAACCTCAAAACTTACATAGTCCTCATATGACATCACATCCCAGAGAACCAATATCTTGAACCTGGTTAAGTTCGGACAAATTCAGCATTCACTTTCACATACCTGATTACCATTACCAACAGGCACTTTCACGTTGTGGAGCGGCGAATACTTGATTAGGTTCTCATAATGCTCCTTCTCATCAGAGCTGCCATAATCCGAAACCCAGGAGTAACCTATCGTAAATTTGTGAAATCTCAGCATGTCTAAAACACTGTCAAGAAACCAGAACAGCGAATCAGCACCATCAAGCTACGAGCTTCCAACATTCACACTAATAAAGATAATGTTCATACTAATGTTTACAGTGGAGGCAGGAGTTCAAGTCCCAGTGGTGGCAAGAAGTGACACTTCCTCACAGCATCCAGACTGGCTCTGGGGTCCACCCAAACTCATATCCAATGGGTACCAGGGAGGGGTGGGGGCTCTTTCGTCAGGGGTAAAGTGGCAGAAGCATGAAGCTGAACACTCACCTCCAGCTAGTCTGAGTCTTCTGTTATGACTGACAATCAGTCAGCCAGTGTCTTGGAATAAAACACTCATCTGGGGTTTACAACCGGACTTTCGTTACCGTCAGACAATTAAGGGTTTGTTGATGTGGGGGCAATCTCTCTGACAAGAGGACGTGTCTGCCGTTTACAATTGCTGCTGGCCCTCACCAGCACAGTCATTCTTCGGTTCAAGTCAGACAGGACTTGTGACCATATTTTACTGTCTCATATTCAAGACTCCCCAAACCTTCAGGGCCAGCTTCCCAGATTTATATGCCCCAGGAACAGGGTGGCCCAGTTATACCCCCAGGCAATGAGTTCCCTTTTTGTCGCCTCTTACGGCTCGCAGGGCTATGGTGGAGGTATTTGAACCCACCTCATGCTCACTCATGGCTTGTTCAGTAGGTCCTCATTACTATAACCTCGGCACAGATCGCACAGAAGACACCGCATAGTATCTGTTGTCACAGAAACATGTTTACCACACCGCTGCTTAGCAATGGTTGCATCTATTCATTCCACTATTCCAGCCTTCAGCTATAAAGTCACAATACTATCACAATTCTTACCCAACTTGAATAATAGCTGCTCCAAAAAGATCTGGTCTTTGGTTGATGCAAGCTGCAACTAACAGCCCTCCATTTGAACCACCCTGGATGGTAAGCTTCTCACGACACGTATAGCCTTCCTTGATTAAGTACTCTGCCGCTGCCTGGAAGTCATCGAATACATTCTGCTTCTTCAGCAGTCGGCCAGCATTATGCCACCCTTCACCATACTCCCTATAAACATTCAACAGATACGTAGTAAAGACAAGCAGCGGCACGCACACAGGAAGACTACACTGAATAACACCTGTACAGTGTGGAAACAAGAACTAGCCGCTCCAGCACTTTAGACATAGGGCGAGTAACCCTAACAATTTTAAATTTTAAATTTAAAATTTAGAGAAATTTTAAAGGATTTTAAAATCATAACTAAAGATTTTATAGTGCTACTACAGGAAAATCAAATTTGACGTGTGCAATATAATCTACATACCAGACACATATCAACGAGGTAGATGTTGATAATACGAAGAAAATAACANATTTTTAAATGTTAAATTTTAGACTGGGTTCAGTGTGGCAGCAACGTTAAGAGTATACACCTGATGATGGCCGATAGAGGCCGAAACATGTAGTGTGGAAGAGAACAAGATCAAAGACATATAATATATATTGTTTGCACTTGGGACGGAGTTTGTGTCATTTATTCAACAGATATTCATTCATCTATAAATACTGTCTGCCTCAACTAAAACACAGTAAACCTTCGTTAATACAGATTTTGGCTATAAAGGACAAAATCTTGAGGTGTATAATTGTGAACTTTTAGAGACGTTGAGGCACTAACAATGTTTTGTAGTTAGAAAGCTCCATGGCCTGTAGTCCACAAGCAAACTATACTGAATGAGCGACTGCCGCTTGTCGAAGATAGTGCCAACTTTTGCAGATAGAGGGTGTCGTGATCAGTACAACAAATCCCCATGGCCCTTAATTTCAGTGTTCTAAACCAGAGCGGCTATTTCCTTGAAACAGCTTCTCGATTATCATCACGAGGCTGAGTGGACCCCATTCCAGACCCACTACTTCTCAGAAAATCTGGTAGCGCCAAAAATCGAACCCGGGTCCTCTGGATCTGTAGGAAGGAATTCTGACCACAGAGGCAGTCTCACAGTTAGAAAACCATTTAAAATGAAGAACCCCTCCAATATAAGAACCTTTATGTACTCACATTGTGTTTTTCTAAGTTTATTGCATGTACTGGCTATGTGTCCTAGGGTGCACTTACATGAATACCCAGTCACTCGGATATAGCGGACACTGGTGATAATGGACACCCTCTTCCGTCTATCAGTCCATTATAATGAGGGTTTACTGTACATTAACCTCACAGCAGCACATAACTGAACACTCAATACAGCAAAGACCAGTATCTTCAGGGATGTGACACCGTGTAGTCTGTCAGAATGTCACCAATATTTTGAAAAAACATCCGTCTATCAGTCCATTATAATGAGGGTTTACTGTACATTAACCTCACAGCAGCACATAACTGAACACTCAATACAGCAAAGACCAGTATCTTCAGGGATGTGACACCGTGTAGTCTGTCAGAATGTCACCAATATTTNTGGTTTCTTGCTTGCCTTATTCTTTGACCCTGAAGATGGTTCAGCAGTGCATCACTGGGATGCATGCCTCAACATCCACACAGACTGCATTTAATGGCCTCTAACTCTTACGCCAGAATAATCGCCGAATAGATTTCATCTGAACAACCTTATATAACGACAACAAACAGTTTAGCAAACTCACCCGCCTCCTCGAATGTTTGGTATGGCAAGAATTCCTCCAAAATGCTGAACAAAGACAAGACGAGTAACACTAAAGGTAGGCAGAATGCTGACATTGAAACCCCCATAACCATACAACAGGCAGGGTCGTTTACCATCTCTCACAAGACCCTGAAGACAAGAAATGAAAAACAACGTATCATCACATCTGCTCACGGTTAATATCAGAGTCTACAACAGAGAGGTTCATGAAGTTTGAGAATGCCTGGAATATGAACAAGGAAACCAAAAAGCGCCCTTGGAAGTGATATTAAAATGATGTATACTGGTTATAAATGATGCCTGTCTCCTGCATTTGTAAATGTACTGTACTGCAAAGTCAGTGAATGTACTCTAGATGGCAGAGTCATCACTGAAGCTTCAACATTAATATTACTGGTTGTGCCATTTAATATTTATGATACAATAAATTTATTAAAATCACAGAGTATTGGGCAAATCTCGAATAACAAATATTAATATAGTTTACAGACGTATATATCTTTTATTTCAAGCAGTTTCCTTTCTGCTGAATACTGAAGATATGTTGAAAAATATATTTAGGCACTTTAATGTGGACATCAAACAAATTTAAGAACATCAAATGTATACACGGTAATGCTCATTTTATATAGACATTCCATGCTGAGTTACTCAAAATCTGTTGAGGACGCCTCAAAGATGTATGCAAAATTTCAAATAGAAAACAAATGCTTTATACCATGTGAAAAGCAATGTACCAAGATGCAGATGTGTGCAGTGCCAATTAAAGAATATTTATACCAAATAGAAATAAAAAAACACAATCCGAAAGGAAAGACATTTAAAGGTATTATTTACTTTCCTAGTAATGCCCAAATGTTATACTTACACTCCTGTGGACTATAAACATTGGAACTTTTGTGCCATCACTACTCTCATAGAAAACCTGTTTAGTTTCATACTGGGATGCATCAAAATCATGAAGTTTGATTTCTCTGAACACCTGCAACATACAACAAAAACTTACATCGTCATTTTGTAAAATAAATCAGAAAAAACACTCAGCAACTCGACACAGCTATCTGTGAAGATTATTTTCATACGAGATTACATCCCCGAAGACATTAAACTTTGTGTTTGCTGCTGTTGTAAAAGTAAAAAAAATAGTAAAGCTATCCCTCTACCAGGCTGGGAAGGCCCATAGGGTTGTGAGATGCTGAGGGTCCCACATTATCTAGACAATCGGCTCAAAGATGGTGGTAAGGTGGTCAGCCTTACGCGCCAGCCCCGCTTTACTCCCCAGGAAAATTATTTAATTAATTCCTGGTACTCATTTCTGTTAGAGGCTGAGTCAACCCCAGGGCCATAGTGCGGCTGGAAGGATTACGTCAACTGACAAAAATCCAATGACCTCATCGGGACTTGAACCTGCGACCTTCCAGCTTGCAGCATAGTGCCTCAACCAACTACGCTACCGCGTGCTCCATCCGCTGCTGCTGAGCATGTAAAATCTTGCATAGTTATCTGTGACTTCAGACACCTTTCCAAAATTGTCACCCTCTAAAATATTTTACCACACTCCTGCTTTACCACAGGCAGATTATGAAGGCTGGGGATTACCCAGGAGGTTTGTCTAGAAAACTAACCATATGGAACAACAGGAAGACACAACTCTCCCACGCAAAATATCTTAAAACTTACAGGGTTTTACAAGCAGGAAGGTCACTCAAGAGACCAAATAAACTTACTTACTCTCATTTTTAAAAAATATTTACATGTTTCATTCTTTGCTTTTTAATCATGGATTACAACCATAAATGCAGCTACATACACTTATAATTGTATGCGACATTGTATAAAACCAAATTCACAGATAAGACATTAATATTTTATTTTGTCGTTGCATACTATTATTATTCATCCTCAGTAACAGGGGACAGTCTAGACAAAGTTCTGGTAAGGGCCGACCTCAGACAGGGAATGAAACGGGATAAATGTCTTCTGAGGCATTCTATTCTAGGACGGATACGTACTTATGAGGTCATGAAGTCTCTATAAATATGGTCCTTACATCACTTACCTCTGGCTCAAGTTCGTTCTTTTCGAGGTCACAGCGGTATATAATACCAGGGTTGAGGAATGATGTGAACTGATAGAATATTTCCGTGTGTTTCTTCTTGCCTGAGTAGCCAGTGACTGTACCGGCAGGCAGAGGGAATGTCTTGAGCAGGGCACCAGTACCGAGTTCACGAAGTTGCAGAACACTCTGTACAGCAAACACATATGCTATATTATGTGCAGAACTTCAGGAAGTCCAGAGCAGTAAATAGAACCACATTTCTGCATGTCAGGTTCACATTACAGTTATAAAAACAAACACGGCGATAAAGTGGCAACACTCTACATTTGCATTAAACCCAAAATGCCATTGCCAGGCCATGGGAAGAACCTAAATCAGCTATTCCACTGCTAAGACACAGGGACAGAAATATGACAGAATGAACAAGTAAGAGTGAAAGGAAGGGAGGGAGAAATGAGATTAATGGAAGAAAGGGTGAAAGGGGTGGAAGAACGGGGGAAAGGTAACTCTTTTAAGATGAGGGAGGGGCAGGTGGAAAAGAATGAAGACATGAAGGACAATAAAATGAATGGGAAAGAAATCTGTGAGCACGGAGGGAGTAAGATAATGGTAAGAAAGGGACAAACATGAGTACAGGGATAAGGTGGCAGTTTTAGTATGAGGGAAAGGGAGGAAGACAGGTGGAGAGAAATGACAATAGGATCAACAAATAAAACAGATGGGAAAGGAATTCAGGAGAAAGAAGACAAAAATTTATTTTTTATTTATGTACTATTTAAGAAATGCCAGTCACACACTATGCAGCATAATTAGTGAATAATAAATTCAAAAGGATACAGAAAGGAGTCGTCATAGCATATTTTGTTGTACTATTCTGGAATTTGCATGGAATGACTGAAGAAAACCATAGAAAAACCTCAGTCAGAATACTCAGTGTCCCAGCACAAATTCTGACCAATTCTGACTGGCATTACCGCTTCTGCCAACTTGCTTGGTTAGAAGCACACAAAAGGAAATAATTTCCTCACTATCTTTGCTAGAATGTATGTGGAATTTTGCCCCTTTTTTAAGGTACTGTAACAACATTCGAAAGGAGGGCCTGAGAAAAACTACAAATGACATGATAGCTGGTCTCCATGCCTTGATTCCAACCGGAGAACTCCCGAACATGAAATAGGTTAGCTGAATCAATGCAATGCTTGGCAGCAACCAAACAAGTATTACCTTCACATCATGAATGTAGCACACTACCAGCTTATCATTCTTCACTGCACTAGCCCAATCCAACACATCCTTCTCATGTTCAGGAATCAACGTGGCCCAGTTTTCTTCACTAGGATTAGTCAAGTCAATTTTGATCAGACGATAGTTTGGTGCATCTTTATTTGTGCGAAAAATACATACAGGGCCTTCATTTGTCACATACTGCAGAGAAAATAAACAACATATTATACTTGGGTCAACCAAAGAATGAACAGAGATAGTGGGATTTACAAGTCAGCCACCTACTCTCCATGGAGCTGAGCCCTTCTTGAGAAGCTGCCAGTTACTCTCACCCATTCAAGAATTTCCCAACATTTTGTGGAACCCAAACATTCATTATCATGCTAACAGAAGCCCTCCACTGGTCCCTATCCTGAGCTAGATCAGTCCAGTCCATAGTACCCCATCCTATCTCTCTAAAATCCATTTTAAAACTATCATCCCACCTACCTCTATCTCTTCCTAGTGGTCTATTACTTTCTGCCTTTCCCACCAAAATCCTATATGCATTCCTTGTCTCCCCCCCTTCGTGCTACATACCCTGCCCACCTCACCCTCCTTGACTTTATCATTCTAACTATATTTGGAGAAGACTAAAAGTTATGAAGCTCCTCATTATGCAGTTTTCTCCGACTTCCCGTCACTTCATCCCTCTACAGTCCAAATATTCTCAACACCCTGTTCTCAAACACCCTCAGTCTATGTTCCTCCCTTAATTTCAGAGACCTAGTTTCACACCCATACAAAACCACGGGCAAAATTATAGTTTCATATTAACTGTTACATTTTTAGGCAGTACTATCCAGAGGAGGCGCTTATTATTTCATGAACCAAAATAAGCGGTAAGATTACAGTCTACAGAAATACGTATACTTACTTTTTAATTAAGCTGCCTCCGTAGTCTAGGGGTAACGTTCCACCTCGTGACTCAAGGTACGCGGGTTCAAACCCGGCAGAGGTCATGGAATTTTTAAGGGCGGAAAAATTCAGGCAACAAGTCCTCTGGGAGGGACTTTAAGCCTCTGGTAGATTGGGGAAGCATCGAGATACCGCTGAGCCAGTAGAGGCCGAACTCGCTGGCTGAGTCGGGACTGATGGCATGCACCAGTACCGGTAGGGAATAGAGACTGGTAGAATATCATAGGGGGACGCACAATGGACCAGCAGTTGGTCTAAGTGCATGGGGAAACTCACCCTCTCCAATACAGTACAAAATACAATACTTTTTAATTCATTCTAATAAATACAGCGGTTCCATTACCTCATAGTCGGCGTCCATCTTGTGAACAACCTGTGTAAGACTGACTTTCCCCGATATTTTATTGTCTGGCAAGCTTTTCAGGTCACAAAAGAAGACCAAATTATCACGGCAGTCCTTCTGTGGTGTTATGATCAGCCACTGACCACAATCACTGACCTCAGCACCTCTAAAACACAAACCAGAACACAATAATTCAAAGCTATATCCAAATTCAGTGAACTCCCCATCATTCTGCAATTATGTGGAACAGTATCTACATAAATCTGCTTGTTGCACACTAAAAATTCTTATAGGAACCCAACATGAAGTCAAAACAAGCTTTCTCTTTAATTCTCGACTGTGTCATCCCAGGTGACATGTGACAGAAAGGTGAAAGATTTTGGATATATATATACTGTAATATGATCATAGAATCAACTATCCTCTACCGTATCGCATAAAGGAGGATTAAGCTTATTGCCGCTAATGGCAGCTGGGAGAACTACTGAACAGTGGGTGAAGATAGCTGCACAGCGAACTGTTCTTGATTACTTTTATAAAAACGGTAATTTTCTTCGAAACTTTTGCCAGTTGGATGAGAATTCCAGATGCCTGGATACCAAGAATTTACTGTAATCGATAAACTAACTCCATCTATCAGTAGGCTTCTGAGTTGTTAACTGCCACTCAGTTAGACATGAAAATTCCCACAAAATTCTTTACTGCACTGCATCACGCTTTATTCAGACACTCCCATCACTACTACTACATTACTTAATCTCATGCATAATCCAATAGCCATGACAGTGTTTTCTTACATTCTCCACAATGGCTCCTCTGGAAATTCAACAACCAACACATCTTCTGACTGTGGTGTGCCAATGCGATGGTAGTAGAGTTTCTGGTGTTGATTACTGACCGTTTCTGAGCCATCAGTCTTGCCAACTTGGTCAGGGTATTTCTGCGGGAGGAAAAAAATTGAGTGTCAGATATCATGCAATTCATATACAATACAAAACAACGTAATAATCTAATTATGTTCATTAATGTTTCACTGATCAACACATAGAATTACATTTTTAGTCTCAGGTGGATGGATAGCTCAGTCCGTATAACGATGGGCTATGGGATGGATGGCAAGGTTTAAATTCCTGGCACAGGCAAGAGATTTTTCTGTGCTCCATACAGTCCTGACCAACTTTCAGGAACAACCAGCCTCCCATAGAAATGTGTACCGGCTGTTCTTTCTCCGGGGGGTAAAGTGGCCAGGGCATGAAGCCGACCATTCACCTCCACCCAGTGGCAAGGTCATGAATGGTGGAGTTATACCTCCTCTCCCCCATGTATCTACATGGTGTGATGTTTAATTGGTTAAGCACAGTGACAACTTCACTTTTTTCCCCTTTGTGGTATTGGTCCAATGTAGTTTGTACTCTACTCGAAGATAAAATTGAATGCCACCACTTTTTTAAAATATTATTCAGTGTGAAACAAACTGAGTTCATTCACATACAGTGGTAATAAGTTCTGAAATATGATTGGTAGTTGAAACAAAGGGATATCAAGACCCATGAGGTAACAAAAATAATTTACCTGGGAAATATGTGTACACCAATAAGTATACTCGTAGCTTTATGATCTTACATTTACTATTATTATTAAAAACAGCTACTATAATCCAAATCTCAGAATCACTGTGACCAGTCTTAACAACTGCGGATTTAGTGATTGAATTACTCATCTGATGAGAAACATATTTTCAAATTGTTTGTGCAATTACAACAAAATGTTGGTGCACCAAACAGTATTAAACGGTTCAAGTAACATTACATTTCAATATATATGTAGTTAAAATTTCAGTCATGTTTCATCTGCAAAGAGTCTCTCCTGTTCTTACATATCTCAGAACAAAATACTTACTCCATAAAATAATCCTTTGTTGTCGTGCGTCCAAGTCATTGATGAAAACTTCACCTTTTCTAAAACTTCTGGATAATCTTCACCTTAAAAGAAATAAGATATTTGCAGTGTTCTGGTCTGAAGTAACAGGTTTGACTCCACACACATCCTCGTCGTCCACTCCGCTGTCAGCATACCCCTTCCCTCTGTGCAAGGTTGTACTATATCTCATCCTCTCCCAATCATTAGCTGTACTACAAATATGACTGAAGGAAATGAAGCAGTTTTCAGTGTAACTCTGACTATCAAGGATTTAGCTGTGCCACGTGCTGAAGCTATTTCATGTTCCAACATATATTGCTGTAGCCTTTTCACGGTAAATAAGGGGAAGTGAGGACACAGCCCAATATATAAGGTGTAACTGACAGGCACAGGCAAACTTTGGACGCAATTTATACTTCATTGGAATTGAGCCTCGGGGTGTATAAAAAAGTAAAGCTATCCCTGCACCAGGCCGTGAAGGCCCATAGGGTTGTGAGACGTTGAGGGTCCCACATTATCTAGACAATACACGCCAGCCACGCTTTACTCCCCAGGGAAATTATTCAATTAATTCCTGGTACTCATTTCTGTTAGAGGCTAGGTAAACACCAGGGCCATAGTGCGGCCAGAAGGATTAGGTCAATTGAAAAAAATCCAATGACCTCATCGGAACTTGAACCTGCAACCTTCTGGCTTATGAATGACAAAAATGTTTCAGTTGGTATTCTTAAACATGCAAAGAAACAAGGACTGTTGAATTTCTGTTGAAGTAACGAGAACAAGCGCAGAATGCCCTTGTACAATACTTACTGAACAGCCTACATACTCCAGACTGTAACTGAATGCACAGAAGACAGATATATGTAGCTATGTGAAATCTGAGGTTCTCAGGACAGTGAACACAATTTTTGAACTCATGCAGATCACTAATAAGATTTCAAATATGGAACTACATTGTTCCAGAACCTTCAAAAGTTAAGACAACTGTACCACCAAGAAGTACATACCACGATACAATCTCTACTAACCTGTTTCTACTGACTTGAAATGTATTGTTATCCAGTCTGAACCACTTCTGCTCAATCCATAGGCTAGAATTTTTCCATCTTCAGAAAAACGTGTCCCTGACAATGCCACAGTTCCGTCATCTGATAGAAGATTTGGATCAAGGAAGACTCTGGGTTCAGAATCTAATGAATCTTGGATGTACAGGACACTATAAGAAAACAAACGAATGAAACAATATGTAAAAGCTGTAAGGTAAAGCTATCCTGTAAGAGGTCGTAGAGGCCAACAGGGGTGTCAAACACCGAGGCTCCCACATCTTTTCTAGAAAATCAGCTAACAGATGGCAGTGAGGTTGTCGGCCTTAGATGCCGACCGTCCTTCAACCCCTATGAAGATACCCAGTACTCATTTCTGTCAGAGGCTGACTCGACCCCAGGGGCATAATTCGGCTGGAAGGATTAGGTCACTTGAAAAATCCAATGACCTCATTAAGATTGAACCCTTGACCTTCTGCCTTGGAGCATAGTGGCTCAACCATGTTACTGCATGCCCCCATGAAATAATTAGTACAAAAACAATTCTAAATAATTGCTCTGTATACCAGGCAGACATACAGGATAAGCCCCAATTTGACTTCACTGTCGAACCATCTACATGCAGTCTCTCATGATACTAAATTGCCATAAGAGTAAATCTACTTCATAATTCTGAAAGAAAACACACTGCAGCCACATTACTATGAAATATTCACAGATTCATGAAGCCAAACTGCAGAACTAACCTTTGATTCTGAAGTCCTGTGTTCATATAAAACAAATATTTATCACCATGTTTATATGGACAAGAATATTTTGGAAAATTCCACAGTTCAGTTAGTCGTGCCAGAATATCGGAACGAACGTAACAGTTCTCAAGAATGGGTCTTGTCAAGGCATTCTGTTCATTGACAAATTTTGCTGTTTCTGAGGAGTCAGGGTCCTCTAACCATCTGTACGGGTCACGTACCTGAAACATACCACATTACATATTAGTATTTCCACACACATATAAAGAATTTTATTTCAAATGCATGCAGAAAATTTAAGAAGAACAGAGAGCACAATAATTCTAATCCCTTGATATTATATTTCCCCAAAAGTATAAGAGTCAAAAAGTGTGTCATGATGGAGTTCACATATTTTCTACATTTTTTCTTTGCAATTCTGGATATTCAGATGGTCTGACATTCATTTATCACAGATACAAATCTATTGCTCCAAAGCAATTCATACTATAGAAACCACACTGCGTTAAGAAATTATTTCTCCCTGCATTTCATTAAAAATTCACCACAAAAAAAAGCCTGAAGTATAAATTACAGATCTTAATGACAACTATATTTTGTAATATATTAAACTTTAGTATGACAAGGCAGTTTTGTGAAATCAGATAAAAGTCAACTTGTGCTTCACATAAAGTAGCAGTTACAATTGAATATAATGTATGAAAATAAATTACATCAATACAAACCTTTGTGTAACACCCAACATCATTTTTAATCAACATCTGTACCACAGCTTCTAAGATGAAAAATGTGGATAGACAAATATGACTCACATTACACATTAATTTTATGCAGGTTGTGCACAGAACATGCAACTATCAAAGAAGAGAGTCTCAGCCTAAAATTCATGCACATTTTAACACTTCCTCCTATAATAATATAGTTTAATGGCAGAGATCTCAACTATGCAAAATATTGCCATAAATATATTTACTTTCTGTCCGTGATAATCGTCCACCACATCTTCATCCCTTCTCACAACTGGATAAGTCAGCTTCATCTGCTTTTGAGTTAAAACTTGTACACTTTTTCGTGGATCTACCGGAATCAATTCCTGTGAAAGGAAATTAAGTTTCTCATTATCTCATATCTTTCTATTCTCAATTATATCAGGACAGACTTTATTACGTTGATGTAGTTCACCTGAGCGAAAAATAATACGGTATTTTGGATTTCGAATCGTTTCTTCGGTTTTCTCCATTATCATTTTATCAGTATATGAATAATCTCACAATGGACGAGCCTACTCTAATACAAGACCCACATGTTAACAAACTACACACTGAACCTTTACCTGTGACTGCTGATAGCAGTATCTTTGATGAACCTCTCTCCAGATTGCTCGGGTGTTTGTACAAGGTTTACATGATAATATTCTACTATGTATCTTCAAAAAATGTGGAATAAATGCATTATTTAAGTTCATAAATTTTCCCATAACAGGAGGAAGCGCCGACAATGACTTCATTTCACTCTTACCTTGTGTCGCTTATATATTATATATCACATAAGGGAAACGAGCCACGAACAATTACAGAGACCGGCTATAAGTTACCCGAATAACGAATATATACGGTCGAATTAAAACCTAATTAGATCATTCTACAGCTAAACTAAAATTATCTGAACTCCCAATTCATTTAGTCACAATATGTACTCACTGCTGCACCCACGCAATTCCCTCCACTCTAACCAACTCGCACCACCTACCGCGACCCACAACAATCGACCTAACTAATGCCAACCACCGATCACTTTGATTCGCAAGGTCGCAGGCAAGCGTGCTCAACAGCGCCAAAGACTACCCGCCCCTACCGTGGTACCGCGTGGTACTTCTTCCTTCTTCCGAACATAGAGCACTCTATCAGCAAGATACTGAATCATTATAGGATGCGTACAGTATGTGTGGTTGAAAGTACAATTAATTGAAGTGCTAAAAAACGATTTATAATTGTTGATTATCTTATAATCTGGAAATAATTTTTTTCTATCAAATGGCATGCATTACTATTTCATTCTTTTATAAAATAATTCTATATTAAACTAGCATTACCTCAACCCACAGACGGCAAAAATCATGGTTGGATGTCCTATATAAGGAAGCGTTTGACAACATTCAGACGTACTCGCTTCGGCGGTACATATACTAAAATTGGAACGATACAGAGAAGATTAGCATGGCCCCTGCGCAAGGATGACACGCAAAATCGTGAAGCGTTCCACATTTTTTGCTTAGACGTCAGGTTGAATTTTACAAATGTAGGAAAGTATATTGTCCAATACTGACTGTTACTTACTTCAACAAGTTTTAAAACAACATAAAAAAACAGTACTTTTCAACTTTCCTTTATGAGCTTTCAAGTTCTCATGGTTGAAAATATGGTTAGTTTTTTGTGCCGTTATGACATGTACCATCCTTCAACCCCAAAGACAAGGCAGCAAGTTCCTCTGAAATGTTGGTACCATTCTATGGAAATATGAAGCATCACACATCAAACATTGTAACAATTTCTTTAACCTCATTTATGCCCATTTTATATCATGTACTAATTTTATTTGGCTTTGGGTCCTAACAGTATTTCTTGAGGCAAAATATGTTCTGAAGACAAAAGGTTAGATATGTACTAACCCAAAGTCTGACGAAAACACCCCAGTCAGGTTCTTTAATACTGCTGCAGAATGACTGAATGACAGTACATAACCAACTGAAGAGAATTTGGAAGCAGCCATGGCCTAATTCAAGGTACTATCCCACCATTTCCTTATACAGCCTACAAGAAATACAATACCTCAATAAGATGATAGATGAATTATGAACTGAAAAGAATTTTGGAAGGAAGCAGATGTGTCCTAAGCAAGGTACTGTCCTGGCATTTCCCGAGGAAAAACACGAAAACTTCTGTAAGCACTGCTGGTGTTCCAGCCAATATCAAATTGAGAAGTTCCAGAATATGAACCTAAAGTATTACTGTTATACCAGCGGCCTCCGTAGTCTAGGGGTAACGTTCCCACCTCATGACTCAAGGTACGCGGGTTCAAACCCGGCGGAGGTCATGGAATTTTTAAGGGCGGAAAAATTCAGGGAACAAGTCCTCCGGGAGTGACTTTAAGCCGTGGGTCCCGTGTCGTAGATTTACGGCATGTAAAAGAACCTCATGTCTCTAGGAGACCTCTGAGCTAAATTTGGCAAAAGTTTCCCACCCAAGTAGTTTCCAATGCCTCCAGTAGATGGGGAAGTATTAGGTACCACTGCCAGAGGAGGGGGGACCTCTCTGACAGAAAGGGACTAACAATTAGATACCACTGCCAGTAGAAGGTTGGAACCTCGCTGGCAGAAAGGGGCTAATAGCGAGCACCAGTACCGGTAAGGTATGGAGACAGTAGAAATTAAAAAGGGGGATGCACAATGGACCAATAACTGGTCTAAGTGCATGGGGAAACCCACCCCCTCTATACTCAATACTCAATTACTGTTATGCCAATCCACTCTGTCCCATTTCTCCTGATTGCAAGACCATAGCACAGCTGTGGCTCAACAATCTCTGCACCTGTTGGTCTCCCAAATCACTCAAAATACCTTTCCACCAGAGTTTCTTACCTGCTGCACCTTTTCTCTGTCTTTGTAATCTTGCGGCCACCCTCAAATTTAAGCCACATTAAGTATGTGAATGTGGGTTTTGGGAAAAGAATCAGAAAGGTGCACATTCCTCAAATTTAAGATGCACCTCAATTTTTGAGAGGAAAAAAAATGTGTAAAATGTGTGACTTATATTCAAAATATGGTAATAGGAAGAGATCATTAATAACAGACCTCAGGTACCCAAGTGATCATAGTGACAGCTACGAGCTGGATGGCTGGTGTTCAATTCCCAGCTGGAGCAAGAGATTTTTCTCTTCCCCAGTGTCCAGGCTGGCTCTGGGGCCAACCCAGCCCCCTACACAATGCACACCAGGGACACTTTCTCAGGTGGTTAAGTGGCAGCTGACCACTCACCTACATCTACTCAAGAATGATGGAGCCATACCTCCATTTCTCCTTACATTTTCATGGTGTGGTCCTTAATTAAATTAAGAACATGGACTTAACCTTATACAGTCAGTAATAAGAACAACACAAATTTGTAAGGTGGATGCAACATTGGATTTCTGTGGTTATAACGGTAATTTGATTTCTTAACGGACTAGGAGTTTCATTATTACAGGCAATGCAGTGCATAATAACAGCAAGTGCATACAGTAGGATACTTAGGATAGTAGGCTTTTCAAGTTTTACCTGGCACTCAACATTCATATGTCTCCAACAAAGAAATTTATTTACTCATGGAAGATTATATTAGCCACGATAATAACTGTCAAGATATCAGAAATGTGAGTTCACATGAAACTAGTCCTCAAGAGGCATAGGTGTAAGGCCAACATCTGAAGCATTAAGTCCAGCCATCACCTCAAGAAACTATTCAAGGCTGGAGGTTCATCTTGGCAGCTTCATGGCGAATTACGCTTATCAAATCCTGGTTCACCAGGAATATGAAGCGAAGTCCTGCAATCTGCAACAAGAACAAAATCAAAGAAATTAAATTTTAGCCATACTTCTATATTGAACAAACCTAAAATTACTTTTACACTTTTCAAGGAATGTCTGAATGCACAGGAAATGTCGACAACTTTTAACCGTCAGAGTGACAAGTTCTGCCATATGACCGCTTGATAGAAATACCAACATTGCTCGAGGATAAATGCAGTTGCGCAGAAAAATGCGCAGCTTAAAATAACAACAGGTACAGACATCATGAAAGCCTGTTCCTTCCTCTAACACTGATATATCATATTTAATGCCATCTATTTACAGAACCGACAGTTTTAACACAAGCACACCAAGCTGATCTAATCAGCTTGTGGAATGCAAAGATTAAACACAAGCTGTTAAGTCTGTAGTGATTTGGTAAGTGTGTAGATTAGCAGTAGCATTATACTTATTTGTAGTTACAACTGTTCAATAAATCCAATTACCAATCCAAACCCCATGTCTAGTCATTAATACATGACTGCTGTTCACACTACACATTTAGTCCTAAATACATTTGCAATTTGCACTACAGCATAAAGCTACCATGTTTGCGGCCACTTCTGGCCTACTGTACCAGCCCCAGATGATAGGGGAGGGTGATTGTGGAGCTATTGGTGGAATGAAGATCAGCAGGGGAACCAAAGTACTTGGAGAAAACCTGCCCCAGCGCCACTTTGTTCACCACAAATCCCACTTGACCAGACCCGGGATCGAACCCAGGCCACCGTGGTGGGATTGCTCACCAGTTAGTATCACACAAATGACAATTCCCACCATTATTTTAACAGTAACCACAATAAGACTATTCAATGCTATTAAACTCAATTTCTTTCTTGCCTCAAGTTTCATAACATGATTCATGTGTTGTTTAAGCAGTACAGAATAACTATTCATTCTCTTAGGAACTTCGCTGTTTGATTTTTGAGGTGAACTGGATTCTAAACCGCCTATAATGAGTATTCATTATAGCAAAAATTCTTCATGCCATTATGAACTCTCATTATGGTGGGGTTCTACTGCGTTTTTAAAGCCCCCATAATGTTTAATAACTTTATAAGAAAACGTAACATAGACTTGCCTCCACAACAGAGTTGTTATTAAGTCGGTATTTGTTCCCAGCAAGAATTGGACGTCCATCAACATAGATTGCTCTCTTTCCCTCACTAGACAGGAAAAAGTCACCATTGTTTCGTAGGCGAATGGTCCCTTGCCGACGTGACACCTTCCAGGCAGGGCCCTCTAATGAGAGGTCGACGTCCACGGTATGGTCATGGGTTGAACGTCCAACCGTAATCTGAAGAAACAACATATTCCCTAGTACTGCGATGACATTAAGTAACTCCACAGCACACCAAGAGAAGTCGACAGTGACCAAGCTGGTCAGAGTATTCACCTGTTATGGAACCTGAAGATTCATTACCATGTTCATTACAGCTCATCACCGGGCCCTATCCTGAGTCATTTAAATTCAGTCCAGACGCTCACACCGTTTAGTTTCGTTTGTTTGCAGTTTATTTAATGACACTTTTAGTAGCTCAGGTTACATACTTTAAAATGATAGGATAAGTGAATAATATACTTGAAAGGATGTGAAAGGAAGTGGTTATGGCCTAATTGAGGGTAACATATCAGCATCTGCCTGGAAGGACCGAAGAAAAAAAAATTTCATTCACAATAGTCATCATCCATGACCACATTCAAATCAGGCATCTCCCAAATACAAGGCAGAAACATAACCACTTGAGTCAACTTGCTGTGACACAACCACACAGAACCATCTAATAAGAACACACCAAGAATAAGGGATATTTTATTACATACTAAGAAAATTTATGTTGGGTGTCAGATACAATAATATCCTCCGTGATTCTAAAGTTTTCAGAATGTCTGTCAGCTGAAGATATTGCTTGTTTCATGATTATCCAAGGTACTAGATGTAACAGACTCTCAGAAGTTCTACACTGTATAAAATTATAAAAGGAATATTGTGGAGGGAGAAGAAGAAACTGAAAAAATGCAAAATAACAATCTATAAAGTATATTTTAAACCAAAATTAATATACAATGCTGAAACTTTAGCCCGTTCAAGGAGAAATAAAAGCAAACTCAAGGGAATGGATATGAAATTATTCAGAAGTACCAAATAAGAAAAATGACACAATCATAAATACACTCCGACATCTGTAGCAGATCACGCAGCTTACATACTGTGTACAATACAACGCCAGTGGTTTTATGTGTTTGTAACGTGCCTCTGATGATGGTTCTTTTGAACCGAAACATGTAAGGCGAGTGAAATAAATAAGTGACCTAAGAACGTTGTTACACTCGACGGATTATTCATTGACAATTTGTGATTGATAGTGTAACGGACCAAATATGAAACAATTCAAATCATAAACAAAATTTTTAGAGATGGAATTCAAAATTTGTTAATAAAGTTAGAGAAGAAATGATTATAATGGTTGAGAATGTATGAACAAAACAAGGGTACTGAGAAAGGAATTAGAATTAAAATTTAAAGAAAATGCCTATGGGATGACCCAGAACAAGACGGTTAAACAAGGAGCTTGAGAACACTAGGAGGTGAAGACAGAGCTGGCAAGAAATTAAAAAGGAGAGAATGTGTAATGAAATGAGGGACTGAGAGACATTCTGTCCACTGAATGGAAAAGAAGCTACAAAATGAAGATGAATAGAAATATCACTATTCTATGTCTGGGAACAAGTGTGACGGTCAACCAGACAGCCAATCCTGAAGTGCTAATATGGACCTTATACCAGGTTATGATGTGGTTTCCAATGACATGGCTTATAACAGGTACAGTGACATATCACTTTTTTTTCATATAAATTTCAGGTTTCTTAATCCCATGGTTCAATAAGTAGGTAAGCTGAGGCAATGATTGACTTTTTGGACATTATTTATCTTCCTATTTTTATAAAAAAATGTTTTGGAAACGACTCTGTCTCCACCCTCAGGCAAAAAGCCCATTCAGTTGAGCTCTATTAACAGAGTCAGTCCATGTTTCCAGTGATAGGGGGCAACTGGGTAGGCTTTTTATTTGTGGACAAGGACAAAGTCCAGTCTCTGAAACATTGTTTCAAATAAAAATACAATGTCCAAAAAGTCAACTATTGTATTAACATACCACTGTCACAAACTTTTAAGTAAGCTGAAATTTACAAACCTCTCGTGATCTCATGAGATATCTCACCAACCTTCCCCGTAACACTGCCAGTGTTTGATTGTCAAAATCAGGGGGGCTGATGCCAGTTACAGAATCAACAAGAACCTGCCAACGGCCTAACTCATTTTCAAGATGTCGAATCTCCTTCTTTGCGTGTCTGTAACATAAAAATATTATCAGTTGGAACCAAGTGCTGATAGGCAAGATAAGAGGTTCTCATGGCAGTGACTGCAAAGATGCCATATTCTGAGATTTGACCCCACATAATGTGATACGTCTCCATTAGCAGGTTCTTCCAAATGTGCGTAAAGTTCTACTGGACACCAAAGGGTCACATCCCAGAAAAGATAAATCTTGAAGTCTCAAATGATGAGTATACTACCCAAATATGAGCTCTTGAGGTTTTCACAGTGATGAAAGTTTAGACTGTCATATGAGTTTCATCACTGTTTCAAAGGACCCATTTCCTCAACCTTCTAAAGTGGGAGGAGTACCCCTCAAACATTGCCAACCACCTACAGCACAACCCATCAGACCACATCCTAAATATCTGAGCACTGGTTTAGTTTCCTAACAGAATAACTGATATATACAACTTCACACATTTCACAATCTTCTCAGACACTAACTTGTGGCAGGTGAACAGATGTGCATCACAACCTTGTTTCTGAAATAAAACTGGTACATTTTTTCAAAAATCATTGGTGGTTGTGAGAGAATTCCAGATGCTTGTATACAGATAACCAGGAGTTCACTATAAACTGATTTTGTGTGCCAATACAAACATTCTCCAAACAAATATGGATTTCTTGGCACGAAAGCCACAAATTTTTCGTTTGTACAGGCACAAAAAACAGCAGACAGACAAAACCAAACACCACAGATAACAAAACGGTTATAAACGCAAGACCACAGCCACACGATATCTGCAGTTAGCAAGATTACTGCATCTCAATGTTGTGGGTCTATTTTACATATTAGTTTACTTCTGCTGGAAAAGAAGTGTGGTATTCGCTATGCTTCAAGCACTTAAAATTCCAACAGCAGTTGCAACAGATTTGTACTAAAATATAAAGAAATATATCTTCAACTACAATTCATTAATTCACCTGTCTGCCACAGCCAACTCTTGTTCCAAAACCTCATCTTGTGTCTCAGTCAGCTCCGTATCATTGATGAGTTCCTCCGCATCTGAGAAGTTGAGGACGTGCTCCCCTCGTGGCAGAGACTGAACTAAACAGCGGGGTAAAAGAAGATATGTCCCTTATATTTACATCATACAGTCTTCTGTTCCACATTCTTTCAATTTGATACAGAACACTAACAGAACATCGATAAAGCTGAACATGTAAATAAGTTTAAAATATTCAAATTGCATGTTCTCAAGATCCTTTATCTTGTATCTGCACCAACTGTTTGAAGAGGTGACAGAACCTTATTCAACATCCTCCATGAGTGTGGCAGTTAATTGTACCACAACATGGATTCAACGCTTTCATGAAGAAACACTCTCAAACTGCATGCACTGATATGGTGTTAAATTTTAGTTACTTGGATCAGCCTTTACTACATTAGCACCTCATTTTGATCCATCAAGTTACCTGTCTGATCTGGCAGTAAGTGGTACTGCTTCATGAGTTGCCAGTGTGTCAACAAAGCCTTCGCAGTGCGTGAAGGGTATAAAATGTGTGGGTTCTGTTCCAGGAGGTTCTGAAACACTTCAAGTCCTGGCTGTGATGTCTGAAACAAGCACAGCACAACATCACACAATAAAACAAAAATGTAAAAGTAAAGACAAAGTTGTTCTTGTGCCTAACTAATTTAGCACTATGCCATGAAGGCATATGGGGGAATGGAGGTATAGCTCCACCATTCTCGGCCTTGACGCCAGATGTAGGTGAGCGGTCAGTTTCATGCTCCAGCCACTCTACCCCAGGGGAAGGGCCAGGTTCCCACTGGACAGGAAGCTGAATAGGCCTCAGAGCCAGTCTGGACACTGTGGAGAAAAGTAAGATCTTGCCCTTCCAGGTATTGAACCCAGACCATCTGGCCCTTTGCTGTACCAACTGAGGTATCCTGAGAGAAGAATACTGGTAGCAAGGGCAGATCTGCTGTGTCATGTCATCTAAAGTCACAAATAACAGCAGAACTATATACAACATGTACACATTAATTGAAAGCTACAGAGAATGGTTTATGAAAGCTGACAGTGAAGAAATGGAGGCAAAAGGTAAAGTACTAAGAACATAAATTTTTCATGAAGTAGGCCAACGATCTACAAATTCTGCAGTAACTTTACCTGCTGTTTTATAATGCAGTGAAACCTGGAAGAACACATTACACCCTGAAGAATATCTGAACTAAACAGGAATCAAGAGACAAATAAAGAAAATTACAGATTGAGAAACTTCACAACTTGCGCATTTCACTTAACACTGGTTGACAGAACTAAATCCAGATGAATGAAATGGGTGACACTGAGCCAGTGACGGGAAGAAACGTATATAAAACCTTAGAAAAAGGTTTAATGTTACTTTATATTTGAGTTTGTGATCAATCTGATGAAACAAGTAGGAAATTCCTTACTCAGGAGAACAGCCACCTACAATTCAAAGATGGAGTTAATCCCATGACACTGGGCATGCTTCCTTACAACGGCACTCACCGACTTTATTGTGCCAAGCAGTTGCTCCTCGGCCTTGGAATAGAGTGCACGGCTTTGCACATTTGCGATGAGTTCTGGGTGAAGGTTCCGCATGGCAGCCACAGCCACACGAGATACGGCTGGATCGTACAGCAGAGCGTACCATCGCTGCTGAAGTTCTTGCACCGTAAACCTGCAGGAAAACTTGGTGCCTCGATGAACTGTCCGCAGGTCATTGGTCTGAAAGGAAACCCCATGACACATTTCATTCCAAAACCCTCAAGTGAGAAGACCACCTGTGATGCCTAGGTGTAAAAGCAAATGTACCCAAGCTTAATTAAACACCATGCTATTAAGACACATGGAGGGGTGGAGGTAGAGCTCCACATATTCTGAACTGTGGCACCAGTGGAAGTGAGCGGTTAGCATGGGTTTGGGCAGGTCATGTAGCACGAATAGGGGAGACGAGGAATGCGTATAGAAAATTTATGGGAAAGCCAGAAGGAAAGAGACCACAGGGAAGACCAAGGCATAGGTGGGTGGACAGTATTAGAATGGATCTTAGAGATAGGATAGGATGGTGTGGATTGGATAGATCTGGCTCAGAATAGGGACCAGTGGAGGGCTCTTGTGAACACGGTAATGAACCTTCGGGTTCCATAAAATGCTGGGAAGTTCTTGAGTAGCTGCAGAATTGGCGGCTCCTCCAGAAGGACTCAGCTCCATGAGTGAGTAAGTAATAAAACAGAAGAGTACCAGCTACATAATTGTTACACTTCACACTTATTCTATAGTTCAATAAACTTCAATGAGGACATCACTATTTTAGAGATCCATTACCACGTACCTACCATATCAACTTATTTCCATATACGATGAAGAGTCAGTAAATAGGTCACAAATGGATAAAAAAAGTAAAACATGTGATATTCGATCCTGGAAAAAAAAGATTTATTTCTCGTCATATCCTCCATTTGTCTCATCGCTTTACCAGTCTGTCAAAACCCGCAGCATGGAAGTCTTTCGACTGTTGTCTCAGCCACTTCCGCACCTCCATTTCAACCTTTGCGTCATCAGTGAAATGTCTGCCTTTATGCAATAAACACTTCCCAACATAAACAGGAAACACTTCTTTATGAATATCTTTTGTATTGAGCCCTTTTGTCCATAAAAACGCACAACAGAAACTGCTCTTTGGTAATACACTCCTCAAGCACAATCACCATTTTGACTATTGAAACCAGCCTATAAACATGTGCATCTGCTACATAGACTGTCATGAAGCTGGACTGTGCTGCTACCTAGTGACACACACAGAAAACCTATTACAGCTGTTTTTATAGATCCACCATTCTTCACCTCAGTACTAGATGAAAGTGACTGGTCGGCTTCACATTCTAAACAGTCTGGTAGATGGTTGTCAATCTGCTTCCACCTTCAGGGTAGAAAGGTCACTCTCCTACCTCAAAGACAGAGACAGTAGGTTCCTCCAAAACATTGGTAACAATCTACTAGAATAAGTGGTGTCATACCCTAAGAGTCACGAAGATGTGCACCAACTCCAATGACTGGGTTTTGTGATCACGGTTATGGACCATTAGTTCCGTAACTGGGAATAGGGAACTATGCAAAAACGGCCCTGTATTATCTGGCAGAACTAGAATATGTGAGCACTGAAGTACAGAACTATCAATATAATATGGAGCAGTGTTAGTATCCAACTTTGGGTACTGGGGACAATATTCTGACAAGTAGGCGTCAAATAGGCTTGAAATATACATAACAGAGCTCTACCCACATAACAATTCAAGTCCACAGCAGGGCAAACATACAGAAGGCTAACTTCAAGAAGCCTCTGCATAAAGAACTAGAGAACTATTACAATTAATTAGGAACGAGGTGAGGTACGTGACATGACTGAATACAGGGCATTGTCACCTGAAAGCACTGAAATTGGGTTAGTAAATAACCCCATTTGTGCAAGATGCAAGAACAAAAAGAATAAGCCTCACACAGAATACATGCCTATGAGGATCCAGCCAAATTCAGATTTCATGGATGTTCATTTTATGAAACGAAACTACTAAGGAGAGCAGTGCACTTCACCTGAAGTGTGAGACTGTTAAGGGACTAACCACGAAGAGAGACACAATCAGAAACAGCTGCTGTGAAACGGCTCTTTCCACGTTAATTCACTAACCCAAACAAAACAAACTAACCTGCTGAACGCCAGTGATGAGTGCCAAGTCATCGGTTGGCTTCCATCGCCCAAGATCTTTGGTGGCTACCGAGTGGGTGTGTCGAGGCCGTCTGCTTCGTCGCCCTCCAGATGAAGAAGGTTTGTTAGCACTGCGTCGTGGCTGTCGGTTTTCGGGTAGTGCCAGCGGAGTCATCACTGATGGCAACGTCACAACACTATTGGATGACCCAAGCTCTGCTAAACATTGCCACAAGAAATCCAGAAACATTATATACAGAATAAAAATTCAACAACTTATAAAAACAAAGAGTACCACGTTCTGATACACGATACTGTGTAGCTGAGTAGAGACTCACTGTCATTTCAGAGGAATAAACTGTCTCCATCTTCAGGTTGAAAGAGTAAAGCATGCCAGTAACCTAATAGAAGCAGGCAGCAAAAACAGCGATTCTTGCTGGTTACTTGCTTGGCTTAAGTTATGACTGGGAAAATGGAGAAAGTATATTCTACCAAAATGTCAGTAAATTTCTGCCGGAATACATGGGGTCACATCTGAGGAGATACGGTTCTTCATAGTCACTGTTGTGAGAACCTCAGACCCAATTTACAAAAAATAAATTAACTGCAATCTACTTATGTTTAAATTCTTAAACCTTTAAACATTTCAATCTGCCATAATAATTGTCTCCATTGTGTTATGGCACATATTGGAACTTCAGTAGCCCTGCCAGCGAATTACCCATATCCCAGCAACTGTCAAAATTATGACATTACTATATAATATTCTTCTTTGCATATTCAACAACTGTAATTTTCTAACTTTCTCAAATTACATATAAGATAATTAATTCTTGTGTATCTTTAGAGCAGAATTTCTCTACTCAGTAATCAATATTATGAACTTTGACTGTGGCATCATGTTGCGTTTTATACATGTACTTCTTACAATTCTATCAACACAACTATCTATATTAATAGTCTTTCTTCTCATCTACTACAACGGACCCGTCTTCTGTTAGAATGTATGGAATGACTATTCAGATGACTGATGTGTAAGTGTGTACACCAGCTCAAGATGAGCCACAGACAGGGTTGAAAGTGGGTAAGAATAAACATTATTAATAACAGACATGAAGAGCTGGGGTAGTGTAGTCGGTACAGCAACTGGCTACGGGCTGGATGACCGAGGGGTCGGAGTTCGAGTCCCGGTAGGTTCAAGAATTCTCTCTTCTCCACATCATCCAGACCAGCTCTGGGACCCACCCAACCTCCTAGCCAATTGGTACTGGGGGCTCTTTCCCTGCAGGTAAAGTGGCCGGGGCGTGAAGGTGACCACTCACCTCCAGCTAGTGCCAAGGTCAAGAAAATGTGGATATATATACCCACTCCCAAATATATCTTCATGGTGTAATGTTTATTTTGTTAAGCACAGGGACAACTTTACCTAATACCAGATACATGTTGATGGTATCGTAAGAATTATACAATATTATAACATTTTGTGTATTTGATGGATTATTTCATGCCTAATATACAGTGTGCCCTTGCACATGAACTCACATATCAATAGCGCTTAGTATGATGTACCATAACAGAGATTTTATTATAGTCGATATGTACAGACCTGGAGCACAGCTGGAACTAGGTGTTGAAGGAACACGTGAACTATATGTGGTGGTGTACTGACTGAGTCCCGGACTAGCCGTAGACTGCATGCGATTTCGGGCCATCTTGGAAGCAAGGTTCCCTGATGTACCAAGGCTCGATTCCACCAACTCATCATCAAATCTTCGACGTTTGATAGAACGAGAACTACTGCAAAGTTCAAGCAGAATGACCACCCAACTAGAGACTTGCAATGTATCTATTAAACAAGATACACCATCGGAGGTGCTACCTTGCAATTTAGGAAAGGCAAGGCACTTACCAAGGCCCATCCATGGGTAGTATAACTCCAGGTATCTGAGTCCTTCATGAGAAGCTGCCAGTCGCTCAGCTACTCAAGAATTTCCCAGCATTTTAACCAACCCAAATGTTTATTACCATGTTCACTGGTCCTCACTGTGCAATTTTCTCCAGCCTATTGTTTCATACCTCTTGGATCCAAATATTCTCCTGAGCACCCTGTTCTCAAACACCCTCAGTCTAGATTCCTCCCTTACTGTAAGAGACCAAGTTTCACATCCATACAAAACAGAGCCAAAATTATAATCCCACATGTACTATGTTTCCTGTTGCTGTTCATACACTTGCGTTGTGTCCTGAAATGTAGAAAAGTATGAATATTAACTAGTTCTTACCACCACTTGCCTCGCCATCCCCTCGCTGATGGACAGTACAGACAAAACTATTACCTATCTTTAACCTCAACATTAATGGATGTTAACAACCAGTTCCCATATCCACCACACTGCATTCAGGGAAAGGGCTCCTCACAGCTCCTAGATGGGGTACTAGATGCGCTCGCAACTGATCTGCAAAGCTCATACTCTCGCTCTTGCACTCCTGGGAGAGTAGTGGATGGAGTCCAGCAGTCAATCATCACAATCCATGTAGCTTGTCTTTAGCGCTTGCTTACTTCCCATCAAAATGGATGATAAGAATAGACCAACATGAAGCAACATGGATTGTGAATCCTCACTGCATGATTTCACCCAATGCTCCTCCAGCAGTGCAAATATATTGTGGCAGAAATACAATATGTGCAGGAAACACTCGTCACACTGAACGCTGCCAGTGATGACAGAGAGAGTGTGTCTGAAATGCTCGATACTAACTCCACACTCTAACATGGCTGTTCGTTCAAGAAGTCTTGGCCGCACACAGTCGCCGTGTAAGCTTGAAATCATATGACTTTCACACCTTACCTTCTGCACTTAGTACCGTAGGTTTCCAGAGCATGTGGCTGGCCAAGAGGAATACCCAAAAGACCTCCAAATCCATCCACATCACCCAAACCATCAGGGGTCATAGAAAGTTCCATTTTTAGCTGAGAACATAAAAAGTAACACGTAGATTAAGGACAGGAAAAGTAGCGGAACAAAGTTGTTTTTGCAGATGTTCTTGCTTTCATTCTTAATCATACCATATCATATCATATCTTTATTATATTCTAGTAGATCCAGTTACAGGTATAACTGTATACCTGTATTACAGATATACATTTATACCTGTAACTGGATCTACCTGTATAACAGGTATACTGTGTTAGTTGCATAGCTTACATGCATCAAATGATACAATGGCTATGAATCATGAATTAAGGACATGAAAATACAGGTAACAGCCCTAGCAAAACTGAGAAAAACAAAGAAACATTAGCAGCTTCTTGGGCCACCTATTCAAACCATGTAATACACACACAAATAAGAAAATACAGCCACAAAAAATTATGATTTTACATAAAGGTATGTGATATTTAAAAGAGATAATGTCAACAAAACTAAACCAATATCATCAGTGTCATGGAGGCATACTGCCACACTCCTTTGGCACTTTAATCAATTACTTTTGTGGCTGGCAGTCATTAACAAAACTGCACTGGAAAAAATATGACTATAATTTTACAATAGAGACACCAATTACTTCTGGAATTTAAATTAATTTGTGTCTGCATAAGTGACAAGACAAAATGAATGAAGGTTTGGCAGCTTAGCTAGATTACAATAGATATGTTGGGATTACTAACTGTACTTAAAACCTGAATTCAGAGACACTTATAGGAGGTTACTATGTCGTATAGATGTTCCAAAATATGTACACAGAGTCCCTGTCAACCCTTCACGGAACACTGAGGCTCCACAGCAAGCTAACAGTACTGAACTTAAATACTATAACTCACTACTTGTCTGTTGTTTCTGACATCTTTTAAATTATTGTTTTGGTGACATCAGTGCTTGCATTCTTGCACATTACTACAGCTGCCATTTTAGTACTTTAGTAGCAAAAGCATGTGGCAGTGACAGCAATAAGGCACTATACCAAGGACTGAACTGTGTATATAAACGGAACACAAGGAATAGTAACGAACTATTCCAATTACGTAAACACTTCGCTGTTTTACAGTCCGGTAATCATCTAAACATTCCACGATTCCACAATCAGTCCATGTTATTCACGCATCACTTCTTGAATAAATAATCAGAGAAACTGTCTGACAGTACCGAAGTTAACTAATTATTGTAATTACACAATATGAAATGACAAAGCATTTCCGATTAATGGAAATGAATGTGGAAATCTTTTTAACTCCCACGCCTGGTAACATAACCTAACCTCAATACCTAACAGCGAAACGAACCGTGTTCTTCTACACGACCGTTATAAACACGCAAAATTAAAAATATTTCAATACAAGCTAACCATATACTTTCATTCAACATGCTCATTACTGATACTATTCCTTTTTTCGGACCATTATGTCACAATAAACAATTATACACACCAACATCTACCTCCTTTCGTTTCCTAGCGATTATGATAATACGTCATCCAACTGCATTGCCATCTGTCAGCTTTGGGATGAAAATCCTTAGTCCAGCGTCGGTAGTACGATCGGTAATTTATCTTACAACCAATCCTCCCCCTTCATGCATGTCTTCACCATTGCTAATACCACAAATAAAGAAAAACGATTCTTCTGACTTCGTGGTGGTTCTTGAACGCGATGCAGCCTATGAGTGTGGTCTACTTGCATTTGCCGTTGCACAAATTATTTATAACAAAAGCTGGGTTATCTTTTCTCATGTTCAAATAGTTTGTACTGTATTTCATACACACTTCCACTTTAAAATCATTTACAACAGTATCCTGATACATGCTATTGCCATTTACGCCATACTGTCATTGTATGACATAACCAAATGCAACAGGGTGTCTCACCGGTCTCACCCAAGAACTGGACACTTTACAGTCAATTCCACATGATTTTCTCTGTGCAGCCTACGTCTGCTGTGATACTGAAGTACCTGAGTGAACAAGTTTATTTTGGCACCCAAATATCTTCAGCAAAAATGATTAAATACAAAATTTACTTTATCAGTGTAAACTGGGCCATCAATTTAAAAACTTCATATTTACACATACTTTAATACCAATTAAATCAGAAAAGGTGAATTAGGGGTATGTGTTCGATTTGAGGTTCTTATGACAACTACAAAAATCACTATCTTCTGGAACATGATATCAATTCCCAAAGACAGTATACTTTCAAATACTGTAATGACCACAAGTTTTTGTTTGCCACACAAATGGGATGTACACTGTAACTAGGTAAACAGTTTAACTTGAAGTAGAATCCTTCTTCAGAAGCTAACAACTGTTCAGGTACAGAAAAGACAACACACCTTTCATCAAACCTGAGGATTCATTACTATGTTAACAAGAGCCCACCAAAGGACTACAGCCTTACTAGCTTCCAAATACAGACCATGTTTCTCAGTACTGCATGAAAAAATATGAGAAGCATGGAAAGAGCTACCTATGCAGTGGTCACAGGTGCATTGTGGGACGGGGTGATGCACTACATTTCTGTTACAACCCACACACATGCTACAAACCTTATCACAGCTAAGGAACTTGACCAGAATTCAATGCACGTTCTACTAAGAACAGCCACATCTGAAAACACAAACATTTCTTAAAACAACATACAACAAGAAGAATGAAAGTTTTGTTCAGAGAGTAACATTATATGGTTCCCATCGCAGCGGCCTGGGTTTGATCCCGGGTCTGGTCAAGAGGGATTTGTGGTGGACAAAATGGCGCTGGGGCAGGTTTTCTCCAATCTTCATTCCACCAATTGCTCCTCAATCCCCCTCACCTATCATTTGGGGCTAGTACAATAGGCCAGAAGTGGCCGCAGTACAAGGGACTTAGTCCTATCCCACTAGCAATAAAAAAAAAAGTGATGAGTTATGTGCTAGATAGCCAAGGGATCAGGGTTTGATTCCTGGCAAAGGAAAAATATTCCCCATTTTCATAGCGCCCATAGCAGAAATGGGCCTCACCCAGTCTCCTACCCAGCAGGTACTGGGAGCTCTTTCTCTGGAGGAGAAAGTGGCCACAGCATGAAGTGCTGAATGTTAATGTTAAGAATATGTTAATCTATACTTCCAGCTCCCTTCAACTTCATGCCATGGTAATTAAGCATAGTGGGAACTTTACCTTACTTCATGTGTGTATGCTTGTGTGCATGTGTGCACATGTGTTTGTATGTATGCACTGCACAAACAGTTCGTCTTCTAAACTGACAGGCACCTGATCTGCTTCAGTAAATTATAAAACAGAGAATAGGACCTCCATGCAGGAGATAAAAACCATGTAAGTAAATAAACACTAAATAAACTATTTCCATTAAGAACAGATCTTCTTGAAAAGCTAATAGCAAATAATATCTAAAAGTTTGTGATGATGGTATATTAATACAATTAATGTGCTTCTGGACATTACCCATTCTCCTGTTTCTACTTAAACCACCAGCCAAGAGAAGTTCCAGAAATTGCCCATATTTTATTGAACCCTAATACTCACCGACATGTTCATAAAACCTTAAAAGTAAAGTAAATAAATAATACATGACAAAATATATGTAAGAGAAGTAACGTTTAATGTACAATCATAAGCATAAAGTAGCCCACACCTTCACATATGAACATCATGATTCCCAAAGCCTAACATCCCTTTGAATGAATGTAGCTTAAAAAGCACTCCACATCACAGCGATGAAAGAACTTAGAAATAAAAAAGGTATAGCTATCCCTGCAAGAGGCCATAGACCCATAAGGTTGTGAGACATCGAGGCTCCCACATTTTTTAGATGATTGGCTCACAGATAGTGGTGAGGCTGTCAGTCTTATGTGCCGGCTGCCATTTACCGCCAAGAATATTCCTGGTACTCATTTCTGTCAGAGGCTGAGTCAACCCCAGGGTCACAGTGCTGCTGGAAGGATTAGGTAAATAGAAAAAACCAATGGCATAACTGGGAATCGAACCCGCAACTTTCCAGCCTGTAGCACGGTGCCTCAAAAACTCAGCTACTGCACAGAACTGACAAGTGGATATGATACAATGAGCTCCATCAAGGAACATCTGAGGGATAGGAAAATGACAAATTAACCTCCATTGTAAAGTAAAAAAGTAAAGCTATCTCTGTAACAGGCCGTGAAAGCCCATAGGGTTGTGAGATGTCGAGGGTCCCACATTATCTAGACAATCGGCTCAAAGATGGTGGTAAGGTTGTCAGCGTTACACAATGGCCGCTCTTTACTCCTTAGGAAAACTATTTAATTAGTTCCTGGAACTCATTTCTGTTAGAGGCTGAGTCAGCCCCAGGGCCATAGTGCAGCTGGAAGGATTAGGTCAATTGAAAAAAAATCCAATGACATCATTGGGACTTGAACCCGCGACCTTCCAGCTTGTAGCATAGTGCCTCAACCAACTACGCTACCGCGTGCCGCCAACCTCCCTTGTACGTATTATGTAAAATAAACAAAAAATACATAAATAAATACAACCATAAAATCACAAAGGAATGATGTTTCATAGTCATAATAAAATTCTTAAAAATACAGCAGTCATCTTACGTAGTTCAATTCTGGATCAGCACTACGGCTTTCAGCTACACAACAGCGAGCACTGAAATCTTCTCGGAAGAACAACCACACCAACGTTGACAGTTAAAACCAACATTTCAAGGGTCAATTCCACCTCCACCATCACAGTCAATGTGGGGCATACGGAATGAAAGTTGACCTTATGTCAGATTCTGAAGGGTTCTGACGATAGTGTACAACACTCAGAATTACTGGGTTTTCAGACTTTGCTCATTGTCCAGTATGCTAAAAAATGGAGAACTTAATGTTTTGGAAACTGGATCTGTTTCCGTCCTCATATGAGGGGTGAGACACCTACTCTCTCACGAAATAAGACCTCGAGGGGCGTATTCTTGCGACATCACTTTATTACTCAACAGTAAGGAAAGCGGTGTCTCTCTGTTGCTCTGGGTGCTATGCAGAAATAAACAACTCTTGGCAGCGTTGCCAAGCAACGCCTCTGTAAACACGACATCACGCAACAGTGAAGCAAACTGTGTTTTACGCTGTCCAACTGAGGATTTATAAGAGAGACTGGAATACCTAAGGAATAAGTTGAAATGTACGAACTGCGGAAGACAGTGTCAGTTAGTATTTGGAGTGAGTGCGAGACAGCTGGGGGAAGAGGAATGGAATGCTGAAGATAGTGAAGACAGTGAAGATAGTGAAGATAGTGTGAAGAGAGTAGTGTGTAGGGTTTGTAAATTGTGTAAAGCCACAACAGTGTTATAGTCAATTGTAGTTACAACTTGTATGTTGTTAAATAAACCAATTAACAATCTGAACGGTGTCATCAGTAGCCAAACATGTTACACTGGTGTCATAAGTGGTGTTGACAGACAGCATGGAGGCAAGGACTGAAGCAACAAGCTGTTAATAAATCCAGTCATCCAAACTAGAAGTCATCACACTTAGCCCCTCTACACGTGACAATATATACCGGACAAGTAGGAAACATCCCCTCCAGCAGCACAGCTGCTGTTACATCACACCGCAGAAGTGTTTACTGGCTCGGCAAATAACATGCAACAACTTGTAGAGCAAACACATATGCAGTCATGGATCATAAGTCAAGGAATTAAAGGGGAAAGAAGTCTCAATTCCCAACATTCTCTGTTGGGTCCCTTAGAAAGAGCTAACTTCAATCACTAGGTGTCTCACCCCTCACCTGAGGACAGAAACAACCATCCTAAACAGCTAGCCCAGTGATTGAGGTCAGCTCTTTCTTAGGGACCCAACATAGCGGGTGTCTCCCTCCCTAATCTGCGAACAGAAGGAGATGCAGTTTCTGAAACACTGTGTTTTGTAGCTTTTGGAATACCGGATGATGGACAAAGTCCAAAAACCCAGTAATTCTGACCTTATGTCACCAATGCATATCAGTCTGTCAGTGTGACGGCAGATTCAATATTGTGAATTACCATATGTTGCCACCCCCTCAGACAGTGAGTGTGATGCCTTGTCCCATTGCAAAAGCAAGCAAACAGGTGGGCAGAGTCAAACTGCACTGTCACCCATCTGACTCTAGAACTGGCCATGTACAGTCATTCCCCACATCAACCTTGATGACTGAGATGGAGGTCTCTAGAACGTTCAGATCATCCTTGACACAACTGATTACGCAGAGAAGATTTTAGTGCATTCATTAGACATGAAAGTTTCAAACCTTACACATATAATACTACATTTATCACAATAATTTCATTACTCAATACATTACAATCTTGTGTCATACATAAAAATATTCCAAAGTATACATAACGTTTCTCTGTCAAAGAATATCACATCATCTGATAACTCCAGGACATTAATTACCTCAACTCTTTGCTGCACCATTTCAATTCATGCTCTTACCTAGGGCATTCAAATCAGCTTCTTTAACTAATTTTTAAACATAATGTCCCAGTAAGCTAAGTGAAGCAGGGAACATTATGATTACTATATCATGATATCCTGAAAGTTTGTGACAAAGAATCATTCATTATACAAATATTATGTCCGACATTGTCCAACCAGTATTTGGAATCTGACATACACAGTGTTTTGAATGAAGACTAGCTCTTTGTAACAGACCACTGAGTCGGCTATTCCTCCCTTACACCAAATGATGGAGAAGATCTAGTTTTTGAAACACAGGTCAAGAATTTATGTTTTTAAATGTACTCTGAGCAAATAATTTCTTCTGTAGTCACTAGATGGTGCAAGTAGCTGCTTTATGCAACTTCATAGACATATGTAATTGCTTGCTGTTCATTTGATTGATTGATTGATTGATTTACTGCAAAATGCTGTAAACTGTGAATGTACTGCTGAAAGGGGTAGGGTGGAGGTGGGGCATGCAAGCTGAAGGTCTGCTATAAATGACAACTGTTAAAAATGTCAGTATTAATAACAACCAAATTAACTATAGACAAAAACATAGCCAACTCCAAAAATGTCAGTCTACTGAACCTTTGTCAGACAATGGACAATGTTCAACGTATTGCTGATATAATGAAACAATAATTATCACAAACCTTTCAAAAATCAATAGATTATATGGTACAGCTTTCTCAAATACACTGCTAATTCTATAACTTACAAATCCATAATTTTCACTTTGATACAAAACTAATATATATTTTTAACCCTTATATATCATTAATATAAAATACATCTCACAGGCATAAGAGCAACTGATTATGACTAGACCCTGACTAGATGCACTGTTTCACATGTAACCAGACAGCTGACTTCAAGTGATTGCATGACAATTTCACAGATAAATAAAATTTCAGCATTAAAGCGATTATGAACATAAGTCATCAAGGAATGTGTTCTAATTACATATACAAATCCAGCTCACAAGGGAATGATCTGATCCGACATGTCGAAACTTGTACTATTTTTTTTTCACTGCAAGAGTACACACAACAAAATCCACTGTCAAAATTTTAGCTGATAACACGCACTGCAAGTACTTTTTTAAATTTCTGAACATGGCCAATATTGTAGCCTGTCAGACCCTTGGAGAAATGTCCATTCCTAGGAGAGCAGTACGCAACACGCAACACGGCTGACTCAGCCTAGGCTGGGGTTGTAGAAACCTCTGGTACAAGCGGTTCCTCGTACAGAAAAAAATGAATAACTTTGGCAATTTTTAAAAAATACTTGCAGTTCGTATTAGCAGCTAAAATTTTGACAGTGGATTTTGTTGTGTGTACTCTTGCAGTGGAAAAAAAAAGTCAGGGCAGGTTTTGACATGTCGGATCAGACCATTCCCTTCTCAGGTATAAATATAATTAATCTTACATTCTAATGCAGCATTTAACAGATTTCTGTTATACATATAAGTATAACAATTGCACGTTTAGTTAAATCTAACTGCTTTGGGTGAAGAATATAATTGTCATTGAACAATCTGGAAAAACCACTTCTTTTTCACTGGACTTGAGATTCTCACAATGGTGACTATAAAGAGCATCATCTTCTGGGTTGTGACGCCATTAGGTTTGGTGGAAGTCCATCAGTGCTTCAGAGGAATGTATCACCTCCACCTTCAGGGTCAAAGAGCAAGACAAACAAGAAACATCCTGTTTGCTGACTCCTTCGTTGGTTTACTCAATTCACCCTGAAGATGGAGGCAAAACATTCCTACGAAAAACTGGTGGATGTAGATTGAACTACAAGACAATACAACCCTGAAGATTAAACTCTTGGCTCCACTTTCATTGCGCTCCATATCACTCTCTGTGCTAAACAAACCCTAAGGTTAAGCATCTCTAATGCCTACATGATCCTGAGCCAGTTTATTCCTACTAACATTCTCACAACCTATTTCCCTAAGAGTTGGTTTAATATTGTGACATGATCGAATACTTTAACAAGAGACTTCATCAACTGCTAGACAATGGAATGATAAACACAAAATTACGTCATTATACAAAGAGCCGTTGCTATGCCATGGCCAGTAAATGACTATGATGTGGTGTTTTCTATGCGGTCTGACCTGAGGCTATATAACCAGACCAGATAAGTAACTGACGGCTAACAGAGGCCCCGTATACATTTTATATACATTTATTAACATGTTTAACATGCAAAATGTAAATATCCTTTAGATTATGACAAATGACTTAATACTGCAGACATTGACTCTGACAAAAGACGGACCCGTCCTCTCATCAGAGAGAGCACCCCACAATAAGAAGACCAGAACTGCCAAAAGTAATAAACATCTTGTCATAAACCTCAGATTGGGCTTAACACCAAGACTGACTGACTGAATGACAGACCATCAGTCATAATGTGACTTTGACTTTAACTGATGGCTAGTGATGTCATGAGTCAGTTGAGAGTTGACAGTTGAGTTAGCTGCGAGAAAGTAGCCAGCCGATAAGGACATAACCAGAGGACACTGTTGGGATCTGTTACTAGGCAATGGCTAACGAAGACATAGAAGACTTAGCAAGTTCTGTAGTAAGAAGGTGAGTGCATGTAATAGCGCTAGTGTTATAATTACTTGTAGTTATAATTTATAAGAGTTCGATAATTCTAAATACGAATCCAAACTCAATGTGTAACCACTAAATCATGTGTTATCCTCACAAAAATAGTTCCATAAGTTGACGCTGTCCGTAATGAGGGACACTTCTACACTAGTCTGAATTTTAGTTCACCATCATAACCGAGTGAAATTTCTATAGGGTTGATGGAAATGGAAATGCTTTCCCAGATGAACATACAGCTCATCTGTGCTGTTGTTCCAGGACTGCGTATCCATCAGGATGGGCCAGCTCATGACAAAGCCTCCTTCCATAAACATCCCTTCTGTACTCTCTGTACAACTGACTAGAATATAACAAAGACTCCTTCCATAAACATCCCTTCTGTACTGTCTGTACATTTGACTAGAATACATTTTTCCAATCATGTTAACACAAAACATGTTAATCCTTTTGCTCCCCTTGATTTCTAACCATGAACAGAGGTCTGTCGCACCTGCTCACACTAGTTCGCTCGCGGATTTCTTCTTGTCTTCTACCCTTAAGATGGAGGTGATACATTCCTCTGAAACGTCAGTTAACACAATATCTACATGGCACTACACCCCAGAAGACAGCTTGCTTCATGAACATGGGTGTTCAGTAATTTAAATATTCTCTACTGACTTACCACTTTGATATATCTGATATATAGGGGCAAGTTTTGTTAAGTCTTCTTCTGTACATAATTCAAACATCTGAATATCATCCACACTCCCTACTGGAATCTCATTTTGTTCACTCGTCTCCAAGCCCCCATCCTCGAGTTCGTCCTCTTCTGGCACACCTTTTCTTACCAATGAGTTCACGTCTGAATTATCCAAAGTAATCGCAGCTGCAAGGGAAGTTTCACGACTGTAATCAGAAGCAATCAAATTGATATTTCTATTATTTTCTTTCTTGCCAGAAATTTCGTGGACTACTGTATCGTCTACACTGGAAAATGATTTAAAATTTGAAGCTGCGTGGTTCTGATCTTCGGTAATAGCCATTCCAACTGCCTCGCTAGCACTTTCAGTCAGACATCTCCCTTCAGCAATATGAGAGTCTGTCAAGTCAAAACCTGTTCCAGTTGTTGATAACATTACGGTTCCTTGACTGTTCAACATTCGAACAATTGCATCTTCATCGCTGAGAGTATCTGATGAAACGAGGAAAGTTTGTCGAGATTTGTCAGTTTCTTCTTGCTGTGCTGTTACACTGGTGCTGTCCGTCTCTAGAAGAACCTGTATTACATTAGAGGAATGCGCCATTTCATTCTGAACATTATCATTTACACTTCTAGCGTCTGTTGACAATTTAATTTCATCAGTGTCGGACAAGATTACCTTGACTATGTTATTATATTTTGTACTGGATGTCTGTAAAATATGATTTGTAGTCTTTCCCTTTTCAACTGTAAGCGGCAAATGGGTCTTGACATTTCTGTTCTGAGATGATGGAAGAGTCTGTGTCAAAACAGTCACAGACTCTGTCTTTTCTTTTCTGATCTGATCTTTGCTGAAGGCACTTTTTCTGTTGCTGCTATTCTCACTACCTTGTACCACTATTCGAAACTTGCCAGCATTCTTTGATAAATCATAATCTGAAATTCTGGTTTCATGAGGAAGTACAATGATCTCTTGCATTCCTGATGTAAAGTTGAATTCGTTTCCAACATCTGCCATTAGCGTTACATATTCTACATTTACCAGACCATTATCATCACCTGTATCATCATTCCTGCCACCTGAGAGTGTTTCTACTACTTCAGATGATTCAAGAAAGGTACGCAAATTTGCATATGTCTTAGGCTTATCTATTTCCATGCTCCTGCTATCATCCTGACTTTGATACAACTTAGTTTTATCAGCTTTGTCAATGGAAACATCTGTACTTTTCTGAACATAATTTTCATGAATCACATTTGTAGTACATAAAGGTGAGTCATTTCTTTTTGTACTGGGCTTCAGTTTCTGACCAAAATGACATAAGTTCTCCTTTGGAAGAGGATCCAACTGATCAGCACACTGCCTCTCTGTATCACCACTTTGTACTAGCTGAGTGACATCATGGACCATGGGCTCAATTAAGAGGTTTGTATTCTGATTACAGAGTTGTATGAATTGGGGCAGATCTTGAGAAAGATTCACGTATATGTTTGAACTATCACTTATAAGGTTGTTATAAGATGTAGGTTGGCTGCTTGTTGAGCTAACACACAGCTGCTGTGCTAACTGGCTTGGGCGTACACTTGTTAGTTTACCCAACTCTGCACTATCACTGCTACGCATCTGCACAACTTCACCTGAAATCTGGATCCCCTTGCTAGAATTAATATTTCTGTTTCCCTGAGCCTTACTGCTGCCTACTGAAGATGATGAAGAAACCTGAACCAGCTTACTGTACACCTTCATACTGTCTTGACCCTCAGACGGTTGTATCTCTATATTTGACAGAGCTCGTTCACGTTGAGCAGAAGCCACGTCATTCAGATTCGTTACACGAGCCAGTTTGGGCCGAGGCCCACTTTTCCGTCCCCTGGGTATGACAGGTTGCTGCAGATGACGCAGAGTGTGACGTTTCCGGTTGCTGCAGTCCGCAAACTTTTTTCCACAGATGTCACACTGATAGTGAAAGAGAAATGTTAATGAAACGTTTCTATAAACTTCACCATTTCATTTAGAGAAAATTATACCATACAAGAGTATAGCGACACTGACTTATATTGCAGTCTTGTGGGTTGTGACACCATGTAATTTGGTAGGCAGGTACTTACATACTAAGACCACATAGTGTCATAATCCAGAAAACCTTAACACAAAAATTAAGCCCACAAAGATTCTTAACCATTCCATCCATATCGCTTGCTTTTGTTGATCTGACTTAAGACACCATTCCCAGTAATGAATAAGTTTCAGTTTTTGATTACTGAGCAGAGTGTCACATCTAACCACAGCATTCAAATCAGTTTTTAAACATATTAATCAATCAACTCATCAGTCTAATTACTAAGAAATTCTAGAAAGATAATTCATCTTTCCTTTTAATGTTTCCATTTACATGCCAAGGTGAGCAAGAACTCTAAATTAAATATTGTAATATTTAATAAAGGACAGAGAGAAATCTCATATTTTGTGGTTATTATAAATGCTTGGAATACACTCAATAAATGTTCTCTGTTTGGTCCACAGTATGAAACAGGAAACTAATATAGTGACAGGAAAGTCATATTTCTATATATATATAACAGATTAAGTAAACCACTCCACACAATGCATAAACTTACCTGAAATGGTTTGTCGCCTGTATGGGATCGACGGTGTCTAAAGAGGGCATTTCTGGTCACAAACGTCTTGCCACACTCCCCACACTTGTTATTTCGCTGACCTGCATGCCTCAACAAATGTGCTGGTAATAAAAATTAAATTATTAATATCAGGATAACTCAATTGGTACAGCAATGGCGTTTGGCTGAACTGTCGGGGTTCAATTCCCAGTAAAGGCAAGATTTCTCTCCTCTCCACGGCATCTAGCCCAGCTATGGAGCCCATCAAATTTCCTATTAAGGCCACGCCATAGCTCAAGCAGTTAGTCACTGGCTTCCCACCACTGCGGCCCGGGTTCGATCCTGGGTCTGGTCAAGTGGGATCTGTGGTGGACAAAGTGGCACTGGGGCAGGTTTTCTCCGAGTACTTCGGTTTCCCCTGTCAATCTTCATTCCATCAATTGCTCCACAATCACCCTCACATATCATCTGGGGCTGGTACAATAGGCCAGAAGTGGCCACAGTACAAGGGACTTAGTCCCACCCCACTAGCAATAAAAAGGAGCCTCCTATTCAATGACTTCTGGGTATAAAGTGGCTGAGGCATGAAGCCTGTCACTCAACTCCATTGCTGAGGTCAAGAATGGTGGAGCTTATCTCCACGCCCCCATGTCATCACGGCACAATGCTTAATAATTAAGCATAGGGGCAAATTTATTTACCCTACCTCTACCTTACATCAGAAGCCATAATTCTTTTTTGTGGGTTACTTTACAGCACTGTCAGTAGCTATGATAAACAACAATGAATGGTATGTTAATAGATTAATAATGGAATGGAACTGACTTGGAAAGAAACAATCATAAGCATTACAGGTACAGAAACTTGTTCAGTGAAAGAAAAAAATAAACTGATGTGGGGGTAAAATTTAAAAAAAGGCAGATGTCCCTGTGCTTAATTAATTAAACACTACGCCATGAAGATGTATGAGGGACTGGAGTTACAGCTCCACTTTTCTTGAACTCTGTACTAGACAGAGGTCAGGGGGCAGCTTCAAGCCTGCGCAAAGAGCCCCCTGGTACCCACTGGGTAAGAGGGTGGGTGGGCCCCAGAACCGGTCTGGACACTATGGAGGACAGAAAATCTTGCACTGCCAGAAATCAAACCCAGGCTGTCCAGCCTGTAACTCGATGCTATACTGACTGTGTTACAAGTGATTTGGGGGTATCTGCAAAAACTGAATACCATGAAATTTTCAGTATGTGTTACATTGCAGGCTTGTTCACACTTGTACATTTTGCACAAAACAGATTCATGTAAAGTCTGAAAGAAACTCAGACTAGCTGAATATTTGTAGTTAAACTGGTACCTTTGAAGTTGGTGCTATATAGGAACTCCTTGCCACACATAAGACATTTATGCTTCTTAGCACAGCGATGCACTCCTTGAATATGACGGCTCAGTTGGCAGCGTGTGGTAAATCTCTGCTCACACTCTGTGCAATGGTGAGGTCGTTCACCTGAAAGTACCAATTAGAGTAACAAGATAAAGCTACCCCTGTAAAAGAACATGAAGGTTCATATGGTTGTGAGGCGTCAAGGCTACATATTTTCTAGACAATCAGCTCACAGATGGTGGTGAGTTTATCAGCCTTATACGCTGGCCACCCTTTACCCCCATGAAGATTCCTGGTACTCATTTTCGTTATGGGTGGTGTTGACACCAGGGCCATAGTGCGGCTGGAAGGATTGGGTCAGTTGAAAAATACAGTAACCTCATTGGGAATCAAACTGCAACCTTCTGACACATAGCATAGTGACTCGGCCAACTACACTACTGTGTGCCCTTCAATTACAGTAAAATTCCTGTTTCTTTTCTCTCTGGGAAACAATGGGCTTAGACACTATATGTTTAGCATGAACAACACCATTAACCCCATGTTAAAATACGGCTACTGGTCACACAGAAGTGGGAGACACAAGTTACACCCCAGTAGTGCCAGGAGATTTAGAACCCTTATTTCCAGACAATGGTTTCATAGTACTTCGCTAAGAATGCGATCCTCTTATATGTACTGTCATGTACTTTGGCAGATCGGTAGCAACATTTTGGCAGAACTTTTTGCTCCATCATCAGGACAGATGAAGTGATTGTACAATATTCCAGGGACCAATATTAAATGGCATTACTATCACTCCCACCCCTGATGTTTGCATGTTTGTATAATTAGTGATATAAAGTACACAAATGGAGTGACCTCCAGTAGCAAGATGTTACTATCAAGTTTAATGAAAATCTGTTCATACATACATAAGTTATTAGGGGGAACACATACATACAAATGTATATATATCACCATGACAATATTGAAATTTTATTGTCCTTGTAGAATAAAAATAAAGGTAAGAGTAAAGTTCTTCCTGTGCTTAACTAATTAAGCACTACGTCATGAAGGCGTATGCGAGAGTGGATACATGGATCCACATTTTCTTGACCTTGGCACTAGCTGGAGGAGATTGGTCAGCTTCACGCCCCAGCCACTTTACCCCTGGGGAAAGAGCCAATGGTACTCAATGGATAGGCGGTTGAGTGGACCCCACAGCTGGTCTGGACAGCACAGAGAAGAGAAAATTCTTGATCCTACAAGGACTTGAACTCCAAGCCCTTGGTCATCCAACTTGTAGCCAGTCACTATACAAACTGTTCTATTCTGGCTCTCAGAAAATAAAAGGACACTAAATAGTTTCAGGAACTCCAAAAATTGCGCCTATATTTTGTGTGCGTAAAGATTTAACACACCTGTGTGGGTACGCTGGTGCTGCTCAAGGTGACCAGCCTGACGGAACTGCTTGCTGCAAAGTGGACAGGTGAACCGCTTTGTTTCTTCACTGTGTAACTTCACATGGTTACACAGTCCTGAGGCTGTATGGAACAGTCTCCCGCAGCAGTGACAACAATAATTTCGGTTTGCTGAGTGTGTCTCCAGGTGACTCCTTTGGAAATATTAAATTCTACACTACACAAAGTCAATGTCTAAGCAGAAGTAACATGCAGAAGGGTGAGTACTAACTGGGAGCTATGCAAAGTAACATCAAATCTGCCTTCCTGTAGCACTCTTTTTCCCCTTGGCACTACAGCCCCAGTGGGCCTAGGCCTACCTCCATGAACTTCTCCGTTCACTTAGGTTTTTCTAGATCTTACACATTCGGTAGGACTCCTTGGACAGGTGATCAGCTCGTCACAAGGCCTCTACCTGTACACAAACACACAAAAACGCACACACACAAACTAAACATTCATGCCCTGAGTGGGATTCGAACCCACGATCATGGTTTCTAAGCGAACGAAGACAGTACATGCCTCAGACCACCTGGCTACTGTGACCGGCTCCTGTAGCACTTACCATACAGATTTACGATAAAATAATTTCTTTACATCCTGCTTGAGGACTACTGTGTTACTGCTGAGAGGTGGTCTGCATACCCCAATGACTCAGAGAGCTATGCTGGCAGAAGGATAAGCTCCTGGTAGGGCCACCCCTGCCAGGCAGGTCAAAGGGTAGGGGACAGATGAAGTGTAGAGCCTGGTCCTCCAGGTTGGGGGTTGGATATGGGCTGATGACACCAACCCGGAAAAATTTACTGTTACAAAACCATGGAGGAGGAGGAGGAGGAGGAGGAGGAGGAGTATGAGAAAAAGAAGGACAAAAAGAATAACTTCTTTACATAAGTAGTTACAGAATCTATTTCTACACAATTAAATACAATTACTTACTAATAATGAGTCAGGATAGCATAGTCAGTATAGCAACTGGCTACAGGCTGGATGACCATGGGATCAGAGGTTGAGTTGTGGTGGGGGTAAGAATTTTTGTTTCTCCATGTCGTCCAGAGTGGCTCCGGCTCCCAATCAGCCCATATCCATGGGTACAGGGGCTCTTTCACTGGGGATAAAGCAGCTGGGCCATGAAGCCGACTGCTCACCTTCAACTAGTACCAAGGTCAAGAAAACGTAGGTCTACACATCCACTCCCCCGTACGTCTTCATGGTGTAGTGCTTAATTAAGCACAAGGACAACTTTGCCTTTTTAAATCAATAATATCAAAAGAATAATAAATTATGAAGTTACCTTTGTACTTAATTATGTAATTAAGCACTATATGTGATGGCAGGCGGGGAGTGAAGGTATAGGTCTGTCATTTTTTACCTCAGCACCAGATGGAGGTGAGTGGTCAGCTTCACACCTCTGCCAAGGATACAGGTCCTGGTGCCCATTCTATAGGAGGCTGGGTGGGCCACAGAGTCACTCTGTACGTTATGGAGAAGGGAGGTCCTTAGCCACTTCTGGGAATCGAACTTTGGTTGTCCAACCCATAGCCTAGCTGCTATTCTGAATGAGTTATCCCAGCTCCAATATCAAATGAATTGTTAAAATAATTAATGACATGTGAAACATTGAAAGAAGCTCAGCTGAGAATCAAAACATCTACAATTACACATGTGGTGATTGACCAGATAAAATATTCACAAATACAGAATCACTACATGCGGCAACAATGACTGGAATTTCAATGAAGATTCTAAATACCTTGAAATGTGTCATTACCTGAGTGAGAACTTGGAACGGAATTTTTTACTACATTTGTCACACTGAAATTCTGGCAGACTCAGATGGGTTGCAACATGCGCCTTCAACTTCCCACGACTGGGGAAAGTCTTCTCACAAATATGGCACTGGTGAATTTCAACGGATTTCTTACTCTTCAAGGACCTTTTTAAGAGTTTTGCTTTTTTAACAAAATCTGTAGCATCTACTGAGGAATTTGTTTGCAGCCGTTCATTTTCTTCTGCTATTACTATGTCATGTGCTTGTTCAGCAGTAAGATCACTCTCTCCTGCACAGGCATTTTTCTTCTGGCTTCCAGCTCCTTCTTTCTTTACTCTACCTTTGTTCCTCCTGTACTCATTTACATTTTTTACTTTAATAGTGTTTTCCCTATACTTCTGTTTATTATTGTTTAACTTCTGAGTTATCACAGGTATGTCATTTTTTGACAATGAATTCACAGACAAGGTATCATTCTCTTTCTGTGGCAGCACATGAGTTTTATTCTGGAATGCTTCGGCAGGAATTTTGTCAGCAAGTGAAATCTGAGAGAGACCCCTAGAAATCTCGGAACTTTCGTTATCTGAATATGTGACACAATGCTGACCAGAACTGGATACATAAAATGAAGACTTCTGCCAGTTCTCTAAGTACTGTTGTAATTTCTTCTGTGTCCGTTCACATTTCCTGTAGAAGTTCTGCCAAGAGGCAAGCTTCCTGTTGCAATCATCACATACTTTCTTTGGTAAACTGTCATCTTCTTTAATCTGAAAAACATATTCAATCAAATACAGTTATTGTAGCTGATAACATCTGTCTGAATACAATGTACAATTCTTTTTTCCCAAATTCATCCTGAAAAATTTATCTATATTATATTAACGTATATTAAACTGTTCACAATTATCCAAGTATGATGAGGGTTAATAGGATTTAACAGTTTGTGAGAATGGTACATTAATACTTTATTACGTTTATGGACATTATCCATCCTCTTGTCTTTATCTAGAAACCGTCCTGTTTATTTTTCAAAACATAACGTTTCAGAGACTGGATTCTGTCTCCCAACTGAGTAGGTTTTACCTGAAGACGGAGAAAGAATCCAGTCTCCAAAACGTCGTGCTTCGAAAAATAAACAGGATGGTTTACGGATAAAGATGAAATGATGGCTAATGTTCAAAAACATAATATTTGTACTAAGGGTTAACAGCCCAAATTTTGTTTGTATTTATTCATTTTTTAGCACAATTTCCTAATTTTGAAAAAATTAGATAAGGTTTATGAGATCACCTTGCTGTGTCTCTGTGAATCCCTTCCCACATTATTTTTTTCTCTTTGTATGTGGTCCATCGAAAGAAAGTAAGCGATTAGTTCTTCCCAAAACTTCTTGCTTATTTATTCATTTAATGACGCTATCCGACGCTCAGTATGTACATAATGTCCAATGTCAGGATCATTAGTGAATAATTCACTGGAGGAGAGAAGGCCTAATTTTAGGCACTGCCTCAGCATTTACCTGGAAGGTCTGAGAAAAACCAAACAGAACCTCCACAAGTCTCCATGCTGCAATCTGGACTTGAAGTCTCCTAAATACAACCGAGAGTGCTAACCATTTGACCTTCAGTACCGGGATGTCTGAGACAGACGTAGCTTCAGGTAACCTGCCTAAGAACCTACTAGCCTTTAACAAGGAACAGTATAGACAGGTTCGGGACTGCTGAACAGACGCTGTACAGTGGGGCAGCACATACATGTTACAAGCCTCTGTAATAATGCTATATGAAGGAAATGTGGATATGAGAAGGCATTCTAGCCCATCTCTGGCTAAGCACAGAACAGAGACCTTCAGGGATGCATGGTTTGGGCTGACAGATATTAGCAGAGCCTCAATGAAAAAGCCTGTGGCTACAGCAGTGAGGACAGGGTGCTACCGTCCCTCTTCTCTTTGTTTGCTCATCGTTGCTCCGGCCGCTCCTTTCCTCCTCTTCTCTTTGTTTGCTCGTCGTTGGTCCGGCTGCTCCTTTCCTCCTCTTCGCTGCTATGGCTGCTCCTGCTTGCCGCTCCGTCCACCTTTACCCTTCTTTGCTATTTGGGTACTGAGGTAACCAGGTTGGATTTAGGATAATGGTAGGCATGGATCCTTATCTCAGGTCGATAACAGGTCTTTCTTCGGAGAAACTTTAACACGACTAACCCGTGGCTTTACCTTAGGTTTAATATACTCATTTTTGGTCACATTCACTATTTATGGCAGTTAAATTTACACTGTTTCGCTTATAAAGGCGATTCTATGAAGAAACAAAGCAAGTGCCTCCACTCACTAGGAGGGTTTCTTATTATCTGTTGCCTACTACTGGCTCGGCGACGCTAACGGACCTACGGGCCTTCCCAGCACCACACCCTAGATGACATCATTCCCCACATCAATCCGGGGATCCACCACCCATTCTCCATCTGCAAAACTGCACATGTGAAATAATGCCGTGCTATTATCACGTAGGCACCTCCCCTCCAGGGCCTCACACATTCAAGTCCACTAGTAAACGGTTACAAGGGCTCTTTGAAGGGACCTAATGAGCTCAGGGGTTTGAGTGTTTCAGGCAACTGCCAGTTGTCACCCTCATGTCAATAATAATAATAAAAAAAAAACTCCATGATTTTAGTCCGCAAGTGAACTATACCGACCAAGCGACCACTGCTTGTTGACCGGAGCCGCTACAGTAACAAACTTGCAGCGACAGTGAACAGCCACATAGTAACATAACGTAGGGTTAATTTTGAAAGCAGCAGATACAACAGCATGCGGAAACTACAGAAAACTGAAAAGCCTGTATATTAAGTTAATCACAGCAAACCACAGAAAACTGAAAAGCCTGTACATTAAGTTAATCACAGCAAACCACTGTGTTTCTTTAACAGGAACTCTTTATATACATTTCTGTTACTCATATTTAGGAGGTGATGGGTTTGAATCCTGGCCAAGACACTGGATATCCTGACTGAGGTTTTGTGTGGCTTCAGTTATTCAGTACAGAGGGGGTGGATTTCCCCATGCACCACGACTAACAGTCTACTGTACGTCGCCCTTTAATTTCTACTGTCTCCATACCCTACCGATACTGGTGCCCACTATCTCCCCTTTCTGCCAGCAAGGTCAGCCCTCTACTGGCATTGGTACCCGATAACTTCCCCATCTACCGGAGGCATTGTAAACTACTTGGGCGGGAAATATTTTGCCTAATTTTGCTCAGAGGTCTCCTAGAGACATGACGATCTTTTACGTGCCGTAAATCTACGACACGGGACCCACGGCTTAAAGTCCCTCCCGGAGGACTTGTTCCCTGAATTTTTCCACCCTTAAAAAGTCATGAGGTGAGAACGTTACCCCTAGACTACGGAGATCGCTCTGTGTGCCCTTATTTGGTCCCTCCAAGAAAATGCTGAGCTAGTGCCTCAATTTTGTTATGACCACTTCCTTCAAAATCCTTTTCAATTCATCATTCATCTATTCTCATAACATTCTATGCCATATGGCCTGAGAAACTGACAGCATCATAAAATAACCCACAAGAAAAGACAACTCTTAATACATTAACCATAGAATACATGTTTTGATGTGTGATGAACGCATCGTCAGACATTTTTACATGGATGTACAAAGGAGAATGATGGTGTAAACCTCATCACTGCCACACCTCCACTGTTTGCATCCAGCACCACAGACATTCAATTTCAATAGAGACACCATTATTAGGAGAACTAAAAGATTCATAACAAGCACTACTGTACAAATATAATATTTATTTCCATAATTTTACAAACTTTAACATGTGCATATGGGCCATTCTTAATACAATTACAATTAAAATACGCTAATATTAAGATATACACCTCCTTCATACATTCATGTAAAAAAAAGTTCCCATGACAGGTTCTCCATACACTGAAACATATAACTTGTGGCTGCTGTACTGATACATATAAGCAGAAGCAATTAATCTGAATGCCCATAACAAGAAAGTGGTATACATTTGACCAGAGCAACCACGTGGGAACACACATGCTAACAGGGCACGTACATATAAAAAGAAAATAATATAGACATATAAACATAGCAAATACATATAAATAATAAATCTTTGCATATTGCAGATAACAATAAAAACCACAAACTGATATCCATATGAAAAACAAAACAACACGAGTATATAATATTAAAACAACTACCAAAATTCAAAACTTCTACACTTTGTAAAAGAAAATGTAAAATTTTTAATAACAGAAATTGTTAACATATATTACACGTTACAGAAAACACAGATGCCACAAGAAGTTTGAGCAAAAAAAAGCTAAAGAGTGATGTTCTCAAGCAGATTTATTTTAACATGAACAACAAAAATGTAGTAACATGGGAATATTTTTAACTTCGGAACTAATGCAGTGTAGCAATTTCAAGAAGTGAGCAGTTGCCTAAGGATGGCCAAATGAGGCCAAAACACATAGCAGTTTAATTGTAATTTTAAGATTATTTTAAATTCAGGAGAAACTGTAAACAAAGTTGCATTAGAGAGAGAAGTCTGTAATGTGATACATCAATGCAATGGGATGCCAAAATATAATACCAAGTACTGAAGGTTGTTTCTTGGCAGGAATGTACATAAGCAAAGAACATATAGTGTTGTATTTCTGCGCTAGTTTCATGAGTCTTGAGTTGCAGCTTATGTATGATAAAACCCTGTTATGGTTAGTTGCTTTACTAATTTTTCTTAGGTATCTACTGCTCTATCTTCAAGGCAAACTGATAACACAATGTTATCACCCAAACATAGTAACACATGCCATATACAACGAACCTTATTAATGGTTCAACCAACAGTTTCTAAAACTGTCGATCATGAACCCCTCACAAGTCACGACCTACTCTAAAAGAGGCCACAGAACTCTCAAGAATTAATTAAAAGAAAGTTTTAGCAAGTTAGAATGATCTAACACAGGTGCTGTTCTGGTGCTGCCAAACATTCAGCAAACTTTTTAATGATTTTACAGGAACTTTTTACAGCCTACTGCAAATGTATAGTTCATTTTATGGTCAGTCTGCCAATCTGTCTCGGCATAAAGCACCCATCTGGGGCTTGTGACCAGATCTTTATTACTGTTTGGCAGTTACCGTCTTGTTCTTTTGGGGTGCCCTCTCTGAAGTGAGGCCGGGTCTGTCTTTTATATATGGTGCTGGCCCTTGCAAGCGCAGTCTTTCTCGGGTCCGAGTCCCTTGGTACTCGAGACCATATATTACTGTCAAATTTGAGCCTTCCCTTTTCGTCGCCTCCTACAACTCGCTGCAAATGTACAGGGGTCATAAAGCTATTTAAATTCTTACTCTCACTACACAGCACAAAAGGGACCTACAACAATGTGCAGCAGCACATTTCACTAATCGGAAAAGGCTGCACCAGAGGGAGTCACATAAATTCATGCATTATGTAAGAGGGTCATGGCATCACAAACTCTGAGAAATCTTACTTTAATCCAACTTTCATTAGCATTGAATACGAACAATAGTCTAAGAATATGACATAGTAGACATGTCACAAGCGAACTCTGTTTCTTGATTTATACAGCAGATTTTCCATCAGATGCTCCAATTATGTACAACAGCACTGAACAATACAGTAAACAATGGATGATGAATTGTTATGGGCATGGGGCATGTGGTAGCATAGTTGGTTGAGGCACTATGTTACTATGGGTTCGAGTCCTGATGAGGTGGATTTTTTTCAATTTACCTAATCCTTCCAGCCACAATATGGCACTGGGGATGACTTAGTTTCTAACAGACACAAGTATCAGGTATCGGCCGGCGAGTAAGGCCGACAACTTCACCGCCATCTGTGAGCCGATTGTCTAGAATATGTGGGGGCTTCGACGCCTCGAAACCCAATGGGCCTCCACGGCCTTTTACAGGGATAGCTTTACATTTTTTTATGAAAGGAATTAATCACGCTTTCCTTTGTTACACTGTTTATATATAGAAATTATCGTATTATTTTTAGATTGTCTTCCAAATGCATAAGTTATAAAGCATAAAACTGGGCGGTCAAATGATCACGAATGGTCTGGAAGACGGTTCTTACAATATGCCGTAAGTCACTATCCTGGCAGTCACCTGGACAGAGATTTTCGTCACAAAATTATGTTATAGAACCGCATAGTCGACCACATTCGTAATCAATCGGCATCCTAATATTAACGACAATGTCTCTACTGCTAGTAAGAGTGTGGTACACTTAACGAAGGAAGGGGGAGCTTCAAATGCTTGGTGTCTACGTCTAGGACATGAACGATTTTGAATGTAAGGTTAACTTCAACGAAGGATCCTGGTTTAAAAGTTACAAGATGTCACAGGTCGTCCTCTATCCGATCTTTAGCACTGATACAGGCCTATCCTAACGCAACAATAACAAATATATATATATGCATACTAACTTGTAGCTGAAGACATTTGTATATAAGCTGTGAAAGTTTCTTTTTTGGTTTAGTTTCGGCAGATGACAGCTGCGAAGTAAAAATGTCTGTAAATCGTCTTCCAAGTCGGCCACAGAGCCTGCATTTCTTCTGAAAGTTCTCTTCATTTTTCAATCCCATTCCTTTTTACATCGAACACATTACTTATTTACTAATTGTTTACGAACAGAATACGTCAAGCCGGCCAAGCATACTAAATTCGTTCCTGTGATAGCTGCTGCCATCTGTGGCTGCTATGGAAGTCAAGTGCGCTAATGTTGAATGAGTAGGTAAATGGACGAAGACGCTAAATTTATACAAACTATCCGAAAATTTCAAATCGCAGGCAGAAGTACAGTTATCTAATGTACCAACCTAATTTATCGTAGCATAATCTAACCAAGCCTTCCCCAGATGTGTACTTGCAGAGCTTTGATGCGCTAATCTAACCTGACGGGATATGGAACTGAAAACACAAGTGTGTGTTCAGGCAGATGTTTAGGTAGGTGTGTGATGTTTTCTTGCACCAGCCTACACTAATCTAATCCAATTTGACGAAACTTTGCCAGTATGAAATTTATCACAATTTAATGTATCCCTTTCTCTTGAAAAAAAATATACCGTATTACAGCGATTATAAGATGCACATTTTACACATTTTTCCCCCGTTGAAAAACTGAGGTGCGTCTTAAATTAGAGGTATGTGCACTTATCTAATTTTTTCCTAAAATCCAAAGTAAAAAACTGGATTCGTCTTAAGTTTGATGTAATACGATATATATATGGGTCATATCAAGAATACCAAATACCTGGAACTTGACATAATACGAACAATTACTTTTATTCTCAAGACATTTCCCATTTTGTTTATATTTCATTAAAGATAACTTAAATCAACATATGTCTTTATGCCAAACCACATCAGTGCAGCTAATTGGCTTTGCAATAGCAGTTTTTAATTTACAACAAATGAACATCAATTATGCACTAAAGTCGTAAAGAGAACGTTAGGAAAATACATGTGTACTTAAAATGGAACCTTCCAATTCCTGTTAGAAATCAGACGCTTTCATTTACATACATCCATAATCCTTTGCATCGATCATTTCCCGTACATAATAACAAACCGATATTTGAATACAAAGCCTCATGATTATATGCTACATCACTATATTTCAATAGGCTATTTTATGCAGACATCCTTTACGTCATTAAATTCATGATATGTTAAACCAAGATAGTCACATAATTAAGTCAGTTTATTACATAACGCAGGTGACCTCGCCCCAAGAGTTCCGCTGCAATGAATTATCGACATTAAAACTAAGTGTCCCGATAAAGAATGTCTAGACTTTCCTAAAAAAAAAAAAGTAAAGTAAAAGTAAAGTAAAGCTACCCCTGTAACAGGCCGTGAAGGCCCATAGGGTTGTGAGACGTTGAGGGTCCCACATTATCTAGACAGTCGGCTCAAAGATGGCGGTAAGGCTGTCAGCCTTACGCGCCGGCAGCGCTTTACTCCCCAGGAAAATTATTTCATTTAATTCCTGGTACTCATTTCTGTTAGAGGCTTAGTGAACCCCAGGGCCATAGTGTGGCTGGAAGGATTATCGTAATATTTAAAATCTGAGAAGTTGTGTTCTTACTAACAGAAACGGCGATTTATCTGAAAATCTAAAAAGATTATGACCTTAAATGAGGAAACTGAGCTCTCCAAGCTGGGAAAGACATATCATTGAATGCATATGAATACACTGCAGCCACTGCTTGAGTGTCTCGCTAAGACATTTTCTGCTAATTAAGCACTGAGCAGAAACTAACATGCTGAATCTTAGGTCCTCGTAGCGGTATCATGAAGGGTGCTGTCTTCTAGGCTCTAGTGCTCTGTAGTTCTAAAAGAGCCCAAAATCTGGGAGAAACATATCTCCTCCATCTTCAGGGTCGAAGAGCAAGTTAAGCAAGCGGAAAACTCACCATTTGCTGCTGTTCAGATCTGTGGTATGTCTGTATCTGAACACCAAATGACCTGAACAAAAATAAGAGGGGATCAATTTTCATTCCAGCTTAATTTTAACCAATGACAGAAACATCTAGAAATTTTAATTCTATTGGCAGGGCATGGGCATGTAGCGTAAATAGGGGAGACGAGGAATGCATATAGGATATTGATGGGAAAGCCAGAAGGAAAGAGACCACTGGAAAGACAGAGGCGTAAGTAGGCGGACAATATTAAAATGGATCTTAGAGAGATAGGATGAGATGGTATGAATTGGATTGTTCTGGCTCAGGATAGGGACCAGTGGAGGGCTCTTTTGAAAACGGTAATGAAACTTCGGGTTCGATAAAATACTTGGAAATTGAGTAGCTGCAAATTTGGCTTCTCCTCCAGAAGGGCTCAGCTCCATAAGTAAGTAACTGACAACTTCCACGAGCCAGTACAGTCTACCATCTTGCGTGTTGCGTGGGCGTACATGATGTGTGTGTCATGGCGACCGAGTGCCAACAAGTTTACTGTGAGCACACAGCCTTACAATATCGCTAAGTGTGGCGTGAAGAAGAACATGAACACAGTATTATCAGAAGTTTCCATTTATTGTTTGTTATCCCTGTAACAGGCCATGAAGGCCCATAGGGTTGTGAGACGTCGAGGTTCCCACATTTTCTCTCGACAATCGGCTCACAGATGGCGCACGTTTCCAACAACGATTAACCAATACAATAAAAAAAAACAATACATCCTGTGTCAAATCATTTACACATTCGAGAACTGAGATGGATACTGGATATGTACATAGCGACATGTCAAACTGTTGTTTGGCAACGGGATATGGAACGCGGTTACGCAACAGTAAGGAAAGCGGTGTTTGTCCGTGCCGTGCCGAGTGGAGCCGAAGCGCGCTAGTTGCTACGCAGCGTTGTAGTAAACATATATCGGCAGCGTTGCCCAGCAACGCCTCTGTAAACACGGTGATTACGCAACAGTGAAGCGAGGTGAGTTTTCCGCTGTCCGACTGAGGGTCTGTAAGAACAACTGTAATGCCTAAGGAGTTCTGTTGAAGTCTAGCATTTGCCAGAGTTAGTTGAGCATTAGCACTCGATTTCCAGCCTTCGAAGGGAAGAGCTGGGTTTTAGCAGTCACCGAACAGATCAGCAGACGCCTCACCGAGAATTTTGATACTGCTGTAGCAATGTCAAGACGATGTGAAAGGTGATAATAATAGTACTTTTAAGTGTGGATAAGTGTGTGTCAAATAAATAATCGCTGAATCCGAGACCCACGTGAAATTCGTCGCATTAGGAGGCAGAAGTAGGTTATCAGGTAACACGATACACTGGTGTCAGGAAAATTACCAAACTGCGTCTAACAAATAAGACCGCTTAAAAAACTCCGTGGCCTGTAGTCCGAAAGCGAACTATACCGACCGAGCGACCGCCGCTTGTCTGCGAAGTTCGTGACCGCCTCTGTGGTCTAGTGGTCAGAGTACTTGCCTACAGATCCAGAGGTCCTGGGTTCGATTACCGGCGCTACCAGATTTTCTGAGAAGTATTGAGTCTTCCACTCAACCTCGTGAGGATAATTGAGGAGCTATTTCAAGGAAATGGCGACTCCGGTCTAGAAAACCGAAATTAACGGCCGTGGGGATCCGTTGCGCTGACCATGCGACACCCTCTATCCGCTAAAGCTGGCAAGACTGCTTAAACTATTTTTTTTCTTTACGGCGCTGTCAGTATGTAGGCTGAGTCGACTGGTAGGATGATTTATAAGAAAGGATTTGGAAGGAAGCGGTCATGGCTCAATCTAGCTACTATCGCGGAATTAGTATGGAGGGACTGAGAAGAACCAGGGATATCTCGGGCAGGATAGCCGATGATCCGGCCGAGATTCGAATCGAGCACCACCACCACTTCGGGTCGGACAGCAAAGAAAACATCGCTTCCAATAATTCCTCTGTTGTTAGCCCACTTTCCTTCTGTACATGTATGCGTATCCCCCATATCGTTGCTGGCTCGCTAAATACTGTCGCGTGTTGCCTATGTAACGCGACAAATGACTTCACGAAGGTCTCCAAGTCCAAGTCACATTGCGACTGACGGTCTCAGATTTAGCGAGACTTTTATAACCTGGTCTCGGGCGGAACAGAACGCACCATCTCGGTGCTTTTGATCTCGGCCGTTGTCATGCAACGAATCCTCTGTTGTCTTTTCATCTCCGGGGTAACGCGTTTGTTGCTTAATTTATTCCTAGGCAACGGCCCACTATTATTGCGTTTCCATGGAAGTATACACGCGGCACGTAACAATACGTTTCCGCTGCAATGAATACACAAGCAAAAAAATAAGAACTCTAGACGCGTTGTCTTCAGTTGAGCCTATGCCGTTCTTCGCAGTGTGTCTTGTTTGTCATCCCTGCAGAGTAGCATATAGAGATACGTTCAGGTAAGTTTTTTTACGAGTCAGTGGGATTATTACGAACGTCTTTGCTATTATAATCTGTGTAATTATTTACTGGACATAAAGCACTTACACACATGTAATACGTCGGATCAATTCAGACCTTGCTTTACAAAGGGCATAGGAAGCAAAATATTTTATTTGATTTGTGGTCTAGTAGTCAGAGTTCCTGGCTACAGATCCAGAGTTCCCGGGTTCGATTCCGATTGCTACGAGATTTTCTGAGAAGTAGTGGGTCTGGAACGGGGTCCACTCAGCCTCATGAGGATAATTGAGGAGCTATTTCAAGGAAATAGCGGCTCCGGTCTAGAAAACAGAAATTAACGGCCGTGGGGATTCGTTGAGCTGACCATGCGACACCCCCTATCCGCAAAATTTGGCACTAACTTCGCCGACAGGCGGCGGTCGCTCGGTCGGTATAGTTCGTTTGCTTGAGGAATAAAATCACGGAGTTTGTTTTCTGTTTTATTAGGAGTTTTTTACACTTCATGAAATTTGTCTGCCATCCAGACACTTTCCTGTTTATTGAGTCTGGGCTTGTAAGTTGATCTAAAACATCAATGATAATCCAAAATATTCAAAAAGTAAACCGACATATATTACACAAATCCTTTATTTTTTCATTCGTATAACTCTGTGGTCTAGTAGTCAGAGTCCCTGGCTACAAATCAAGAGGTCAGGGTTCGATTCCTGGCGCTACCAGAATTTCCGAAAAGTAGTGGGTCTGGAACCACGGAGTTCTTTTATAACTTAATTTTGTTCAGACGTGTAAGGAGTGGTTTCTCGGGAACGAGACACAAGAAACTGGTTATCCTGCCTCCGTTAATATGGGTTGCCCTGGTGGCAGTGGCAGTGGCAGCAACAACATCAATAGTGGTGGTATTATAATTTTACTGTCTTAACTCCCCTTACTTAACAACAAACTAAATATCTGGGCTGCTTCGTCTTTTTAAGTAAATTTCATTTATATTTAAAAAGGATTATATAAGATATGAGCCGGTCACGGTAGCCAAGCGGTCTAAGGCATGTACTGTCTTAGCTCGCTTGGAAACTGGGATCGTGGGTTCGAATCCAACTCAGGGCATGGACATTTAGTTTGTGTGTGTGCGTTTTTCTGTGTTTGTGTACAGGTAGAGGCCTTGCGACGAGCTGATCACCCCCCCGCCCCAAGGAGTCCTACCGAATGTGTAGATCTAGAAAAACCGCAGTGAACGGAGA